TAATTTCGAGCCTTGGCCAGGAACATATAGTATAAAAGGCATTTTTTCTTCAATCTAACGATTTTTAGAGATTGATAAAAACTGCTTAGGCTTGAAATTTTGACTGGAAAGTGGAACTCGCAGATAATATGGGTCCTATTAATCCGCCGTTTGGTTCATTTTTAAGACTCATGTTACTTGTGCAGTAAGTCTATTCCTCCTATCACCAAAATTAGCTCCGGTACACCTAGAATTGAGTTGAGTTGATGTAGCTGTTGGTCAGTGAGCACCGCAATTTAGCCAATAAGCCCAGTTTGGTACCGCTGTGAGGTTCCTGCCACCTTCACCTTCTCAATTGTGCGAACCATTTGGCGTGTCTTACTAATTTATGATGAAACTACCTCAGCGCGACAGTCAAAGTAGTGTTTTGTTAGGAACTTAAGTCGTGCAGCTGTCTAGACTGGACAGTGAAATACGTAGTATTCAATAGACTCTTCCTATTCTTCGCCCTTTGAGCTGCCAACGAGGCCCCATTAAACCGTGGCCTGTTATTACACCTTTCATTGCGTTAATTCAGAACCGGTCTAGGAGAATAAGATGCCTTGATCTTTTCGCATTTAATCACGTTGCAGCCATCTAATGAATTTTTCCATATTATACCCCTGCGGGTGCTACCATTCGAAAGGCTCGGGTTCAAATCCCCGTGTGACCAACATCCAAAAGTTATAGTAAATTTGTTTAAATAAAAAATTAAATTAATTTTTCTATTTGCCGTCGCCCCTCGGCAGAGAATGTCCAGCTGTGAATGGCAAAGCTTTCTTCCGGCTTATAGGCAGATCCACCTCTTCTCAGAAAGTTTTATTATATTGTAGGTCAAATAACTAGTATAACCTATCAGCCGGCTTTATCCACTTCAGCAACAACGTTCATTTCCGCAAGGTAATCACATCCTCAGCTACCTGCTTCACACTATCGGACAATTTTCCAAAAACATTTCGCCTCTTCTGCTTTGTAACCTACTATAAATAGGTTCCGGTGACCAAATACACGGTCTCCAGCGAAATGAGTGTATGATCTGCCAAAATTATGACCAGGGAGTGGACTTTCGCGAAAAATGATTTGGGAGAAGAGCTTTCCTTATACTCTCTATTGCACTCGACTGAACTTTGAACTTCGAGGCCAAATATCCAAGAACAAATTTCTATATTATGCCCATCCGATCTTGATTTCCGGCGGTAGATTAGGTGATTTGGAAGCAACAGTGAATTGATACTTCCTTCATTGGTTTTATCTTATTTACTATGAGAAGTTTAGTCTAATCTTCAATGAAACCAACGGTAATAGTTTTAACATAACAGTTGAGCTAGAGCTCTTATTTTAATAAGCTCGTGCTTCGAATGGTGGGTATTGATCGAAGTTCGTACAATACCAAACATACTCAACATCGCTGTTGTGATTGTTGTTTTAACGGCTTGGTCAACTACAACTAACAGAAGAAAAGTTTATTTACAATATGTCAGATCCAGGAAACGAGCTATTTCGGACCAAGAAGAAAGGGGTGTTTGGTAAGTGAGTTTGAGTGAGGGCTTATTGCATGAATGGCATGCTATAAGTACGTATGTCTGTGTCAGGTGTGGCTAAGTAGGGTTTAAGTATACTGCAATATCTAGCCCTCAATTGTGCCAGTGACACTCTGGTGTCGCGAGACAGCTTGAGCTCTGCGTCTACTATGACTGGTGTTTTCATTCCGAACATGCCATTCACGGGTAGAGAGCTTTTAAGGTATGGGCAAACTCTCAGGGAAGGCCACTTAGAGCCTGTCGATAAGTAGTCCTATTCAGACTGATTAATAGTTAGAGTTCTAGTAGATGTCTGCAAGCGTACTACATAGTAGATATTCCTTACACAACATGAGATTATGCTCCTTAACTTGGAGCATAGATGTTTACGGTGTAAATGATGCACAGGTGGCATCAGATTTTCCGTTACAGACTTAAGACCCTTATTCTGAGAGGCTTTCAGCTTCTTTATCTGCATGTCGGTATCCGGCGTCCAAATCGGAGCGTCCAATTCGATGGCTGGCACAGGTGAATGCGGATCGTCTTGAAGGTTACCAGCGTATCTTCTTTTTTTCCCAGGTGATATTGATTTCAGCATGTTTTTGGCGCTATACCTTCATGCAAAACTTTTTTGTTTGGGAAGTGGAGGACTGCAGGCTGTCGAATGGGACTCAGAACTCCCAGTAACAAGTTTATATTCGGAATTTCGACATCGTACCCTTTCACATTCAGTACCATCTCATTATAACGGTGAAGCCATGAAGTGTGCCCTGATGTTCTTCCAACAAATGGAAGAATCCGCATTTTTCTAAGCCGCCTCTGAACGGCTGATAGATCTTTATGGAGGGCTTTTATTTCTTGTCTGGACTTTTTCTACGACTTGCATGTTGTTCTGGCCAGGATTCGAACTCATTTCCATTGTATCACTTACTTTAAAACTCTCGACTGCTAATATTTTAGTTTGAAGATTTTATAAGCTTTGAAGGTGGGATATAAATTATGCTAACTTAGGGACACTTCTACCCTTCATCAGTTTCCAATTGAGCCCTGCTTATTTTTGAGAGGGTTTATCAAAAAGTTTTGGGGTTTGACCTTAACTTGATGGAACATCACGCCTCTGGGTTTGTCATTTCAAAGCATTTTTTGCTTCAGCTCTTCCTTCAGTATGGGGAATTGGAAGCAGCGTAAAGTCTATCCTTTCTTGGCAATCCCATAAAGTTCTTTTGGATTTGGCTTTGGATTGGTTCTTGTTGGGAGTTATCCAATAGGGAGTGTTATTTTGAATAGCCAAAACTCTCTCAAAAAAAGGTGACTTAATTTTTTAGGTTTCTTATAGACCATTCAGTTCTTTCTTCGTACACCCAACTCAAAGGAATGAAACAAAGTTGTTTTTTTTTTTTTTTGTAATGTGGGGAGAGGGACAACTCTTAACTGCACGATATAATAATGACTCGTATTTTGTAAGATTTTAAACTTTGGAACCGAGCTCGGAAGTCTTAAAGCTACCCACCCAAAGATCGTACTTCGATTAAATTTGGTATGAATGTTCTACTCAAAAAATTTATATTTTCTATTGACGCTGCTACTTAAGTCAAATAACAATGGAACGAAGTACGAGCTCAAACCCCTACCGGGTAGGGGTTCAAGAACTCAAGGCAACTTCAATCCAAAAGTACCCACGACAAGCGAGTCTTTGCACCGAAGCGACCAGGACTTTTAGCTAGCCAAAGACAGTCACTTCCTCTGGCGAAAATTTTTACTGCTACAACAACGAGATAAGTAATACGGAAATTCAGATAACCCCTGCGGGTTAGGGGTCCAAGAATTTACCAGCGGTGAGACATGCCTGTCGTAAGAGGCGATAATGTAGTTCTCGCGACAGTCGGGTCTTTATACCCGAACGAGCCGGATTTTTATCCGTCCAAAAAAACACTTTGGGGAATATTTTTGCGGTTACAACCACAACAACAAAAACATTAATATATAATCAACCAATTTCGATAATAAGAAACAAATATTTGTTATTGCTTTTCGATTGTGTTTTTCCTTTTTCTTTCTTTTTATTAAAAACTCTGAATTCATTTGTTTAATTAACAATTTCATAATCATATTTTTATGCTTATAATTTGTCATATTAACAATTTTTGTTATTTCTTTCTATGTATGTATGTTTGCGCTTTTATATAATAGATGTATAAGTGTTTAACGCAAGTGCAACAGTAAGTATATGTAAGTATGTACGAGCACGCGTGTGTATTTAGTACATTTTACCACCATTTGATTAGTGTTGTTTTTGTTTTAGTTAATAATCCTTTATTATACATAAACTCAGTAAGTATATACTAAACAAATTCGTATATATATATATATATGTATATATAAAATTGATATTGTAATACTTTTTTGTTTTTTTTTTTCGATTATATATATATAAAAATTGATCTTCGCTTTACTTAATTTTTTATTGACTTTCCATTTTATTTTGTAAATCTTCTTTTAATAAATTTGATTTTTTACAACTATATTTAGAAAACAAAATATTCCTAATATTTAAAATGAAACTAAAATAAAAAAGTATGAATAAATAAAAATTATTTAATATAAAAAAATGAATAAAGCAAATTGTTTTGATTATACGTTTATATGTAATTAAAGCATTACATTTTTAGTAACTTAATTATGAACAAAATTTTTGGTTAATAACTCATTACTACATAAAATTAAGGTAAACAAACAAAAGTACACCTTAATTATGTGTGTGTGTGTATGTGTGTCTGCATACGTATATATTTATGCAATTAAATACACAAAGTAGTAGAAGTAATAAATGGCAAACGTTAGTGATTTCTACGCATGTAAGTTTGTTTATTAATATATTTGTAAATGCAAGAAAGATTTTGAAAATAATTAAATTTTTAAAAATAATACTTGTACTTTCAAAATATTCGATTCAGTTAATTGCTTTTTATATGAATTTTATTAAAATTATAGATTTTTTGGAATACCAAAACCGATAAGAGATTGTGAATGATAAGAACATATATATTTTCTACAATACTTTCTTATAGAGGAGTCTCGTCTCAAATTGTTATTGCAATTCATTATTTCCCCGAAATTTTTGTATGTTACGTGTAAGCAAACAAAATTTTCGTAATTCCCATGAGATTCGTTTTATAAATCCTTTTTTGTTTTCGCCATTCATTCATAATTTAGTTTTAAGATATTTCTAAATTGACATTTTGACTGGTGCTTCCACTCTTATTTAACATGATTTGAATATGAAAACGAATAATAAGCTTAAAATTAAAAACTCGAATTCGAATCGTAAAATTCGGTCGAAATCGTTTAAATGTTGATCTGTCGCTTACTTCACCATAAATTTGTATTACTGCTCTTATACCAGTTGGCATACAATTAAGCGCCCGAATTAATATTAAATGCATACGGCGTAAAAAAAAGTTGTTTGAGACAAAATTAGTTTAATAGATATAAGTTGGAGAGTAACGTGCTTTAAATGAATAGTCAATTAAACACATAAAAAGTAAGAAATTTATAAGTGTACTTTCAGCGATTCCATACGATTTATTATGCGACGACGCAGCTCGGCATATCTGCAAGTAAAAAATGAAATTAAAACATTTATAAAATGAGTGAAAGTTATAATTATTTGAATACCGTTCTCTGACTTTGACCACCTCACGCTCTAATTCATCATCGTAACGTTCCAAAATGGCACGACATTCTGGCAGCGAGAGATTTATAAATTGTGCAACCTCATTGCTGTAAGTTTTTCAAAATGAAGTTACATTTTTAAACATAAAATATTATTTTAATGTTCAAGTACCTAATTTCATCCGTTTTCTTAGCATCAACTAAAAATAGACGCGCCACATCCTCATGCGGTCCCATCATGATGCGTGTGACCAACGGATAATCAGTCTCTTTCAGGCGTTTCTGTTCACCATTATCGCGTATAATAAAAAGTGAGAAATTCTCTGCCGGACTATCTACTTTATATTTTTCCAGCAATAAATTAATCACTTCATTTGTGGTGACCAACGATGTCACCCATACGGACATCTGTGAGCCATACGGTGGCGTAAAGAAGGATGTTTCACGATTGTAGAAATGCCCATTTATCGAACAGCGTCGTTTCAATTTGGTACGCGATCTGGAAACAAAAGATGCGCATACATTTTGTAGAAATAAATGTTTCTTTTTTTTTAACATCCAACACACCTTCGATTGCCACTACGCCGTTTTATAGCAGCCGCGCCGGTTCGTGGTGGCCGTCGCAAAACCACACCATCTTCGGTGACATGCAAAGGCACCTCCGCACCATCCTCATCGTCGCCGACATGACGCCCGCCGCGTCCATCGCTAGCCGTTACCATCTCTTCCGTTTGTGTCAGCTCATCACCGCCGGCTGCACCGCTGTTAGTCACTGTAATTGAGGGTCCTTCAGTGCGACTGGAGTCAGCGTCACTAACGCTACATTTGTCCCTCTCATCTTTGTTATTATAAGCCGCTTCTTTCGGATAGCAATCCATTTCGATTTTCACATACCTTTGCGATACGTCACTACGGCGCATGGTAGATGACTCCTGCGGCTTCAAAGTTGGATCATCGTCGTCTTCGCTATCCGAATAGTCAAAACAAGACGGCCCTGATTTCGAACGATTTATACCCCTTTCAAAATGCTGCTGTGCATGATGATAGGGTGATAAGTTTTTATGATTGCCACCGGTCGCGGTAGTGGCTGAGCCACTTTTTTGCAATGCATACATACGTTGCATGGAATGTGCACTTGCAGTGCCGCTTTTTAAGTGTAGCGTATCGTTAATCAAATTCGCATCGATGGAGCGCAAAGCATGCTCACAATTGAAACTCTTACTCATTGGACTTTCACCGTACAGCTTCAGGGAATCGTGTATTCTTGATGGATCAATTGGCTGGTTGCGTTTCAGCGAATCTTCATTGGGTTCACGAAATGAATTGGCACCATTTACATAATCCAGATGTACGCTACGTTTGAATTCCTCAAAATCCATTGGCTTGAGTGTTGCGTCATCAGCGGTGTCAAAGTTATCAGCTGTTGTAGTACTGGTATTTATTGTCGCCGAGGTTGCTGTGACAAAATTATCCGAAGAAGTACTGCTACTACTCTCACTATTGCTATTACTATTATTATTTGTTGTGGAAGAAGAGGTTGGCGTCGATGGTGATGGCACTTCGCTGATCGTATTTGTGCTTTCAGTTAGATTATGGGCCGAGATTGTTTTTGATGGTGAGCTGTCGCTGGAAGACGTCTGTGATGATGGCAACTTAACCGGCATCGTTTCATAAATTTTATCCTTTTCGCTAACTCGGCGCTCGACCTAGAGGAATCAAATTATTATTTTTTTCTTTTTTTCTTAATTTAAATAGCTGAAAACATACCTGTAGTAAATCATCTATCTCATCCCACTCTAGTTTTTCCAAATTATCTAACTTGGAAGGCAACGTTGCAGAGAGACAACTTGTAGATGCTGTGGTAATTGTGGTATCAGTACCGCATAAAGTACTAGACGATATAGATTCATCTTCATTATCAGCACGTCCGTTAGAGCCATTTAATAAAGGCACAGCAGCACTGCCATCAGTTCCACCAGTAGTGTTGGCAGAGGCTTCCTCTGGCGTTGTAGGCAGATCCGTCAATGGATATTCATTCAAACTGCACGAATCAAAAGTCATGCTCTCCGACAAGGATATATCTGTTGACATATTCTCCACCTCACTTGGTGTGGTGGGCGCTTCTAGTGATTCGCTGATATCATTTTCCTTATCCGATGGACTATCCTACAAAAATTGGGTAGAATAAAGCAAAATTAATTTAGGTAACATAGAAGCAATAATATATTTACAACTTACATCTACTGCTTTGGAAACACGCTTGGAGTTCCTTTTACGTACTACCAGAGTACGCTGATCATCATCTTCTTTGAGATGTATCACACCATGTACACCCCAAGAAACACGTAGTGCACCTTCTAGTATTAGCCGATTATTTACCTCACGGCTGCGTACTTCCATGCTTTTATTGTCATAAAATTGATTGTAGACCTGTTAGAGAAGAAAAGTAAATAGCTAAATATACTACAAAAAAAGCATCTATTATTTCTTAAAGACTTGCCTTAAGCTTACTTTCCAAATGATCTCTAGGCAGTACAGACCCACCGCCATTACCAATACCTGGCCGTTGTGCTCCTTTTACACCATAGCTTTTATGAGATTCTACACGCGTTCCATGTCCAAAAAGCTGCGGTCCGAAAAGTGCACCGTAGCATGGCACGTGACAGTAAGGCACTCCTTTATGCTATCAAAAAAAAAAAAAAAAAAAAAAACCAAAAAATAGTTACATCCTAGATATATATGAGTATTTCATTATAACTTACCTCAGCGTGTTGGCCTGGATTTAGCCGTTTACCACATTCTTCGCAACGTAAACACTCTGGATGCCAGTCATAACCCAAGGACTGTTTGCGTTCCGCTGTAGTAGATAACAAAGATATCAATAATTCAATAGTTTAGAATTTCGGCCTTGCAGACTTTGAAGGAACAAAACCATCGGTACTACTTACCAAAGTATACAGGTTTTCCACATTTATGACACTTCCACATATTTATCGCGCTTTGTTGGCGATTGTGCTAATAGAACGTGTTGTAGGGCTAATTTTACGAGCGTAGGGAAAATTTCAATACAAGCAGCCACTGCAGCGAAAACAAGTTCGTTGCCCTGCTTCCAGAATAGTCTCTATAAACTATAACCGACGGCCACTGTTAATTTTCTTTTCTTACTACTGTTTTAAACGTAACGCGTGACGTATGTAATTTTACATAAAATATGCAAATGATCGTAAAAAAAAGTAGAACAACAAAACACGCCACTATGTGGATAATATAATTGGTAAAAACAAGAATTCACAAGACGAATAGCTGAAGCACGCAACCGATCAAGAGAGAATACAAAAAAAATGGAAATAAATTAGCCACAAAGGGCATAGAGGACACTGAACTCGGCGATTTTTAGTTTTTCACCATTTTCGATATCTTTTAGCAAACTTTTGCGATTTCTTGAAGAAAGGCTATATAAATATTTTTTTAATTAAAAATTATTGCTTTAATCCACTTTGTTGCCACAGACACCGCCAACGCAAATCGCCTAACCTGTTCTGAATTATTGCACACTATCTGAAGTATTTCTTTTTGTATAATGAACTAGCGAAGAACAGCAACTTATTCGCTTTCGCCACAAACAATTCTTTATTTCAAATTATTGTTTATTTTATTGCAGAATATGATATTCCCTACTTATTTGGGGGGAAGAAAATAAAACAAATGCATTTTTTGTTTCACGAATGGTGCGAGAACAAATTACCGCAATGTTGCCAGCTGATCCGAGCCGTGAATAATAGCAACGGATTAGAAAATTCGACATAAAACTGTATAATTCCGAGGAAAACTATCATTCATCTGTTACAGAAGTTAATCAATAAATTTTATTCAATAAAAAGTATAAATTATTTGATAATTAATCTTATTTATTTTATTCGCGCCATCTATATGTGGATGAGCAAATAAAAGTCAGCTGAGATCAGAGCTGCCATGTAATAATTTCTATAAAGTCAAGTCACGCAGACACTAAGCTTTCAGAATTATTACAGTTATTTATAAATAGTTTAGCCATATTTATAAGTTTTTAACAAGAAATTACAGGTTAATAAATTGTACTTTAAAAATGATTAAAAGTATTGTGAAATAAAGGTATGCTCGGGCTAGGAAGGAGTAGTTCCAACCACGTTAGGTTGCATAAAGGATATATTATCACGTGGCTTATGGACGCTCTCTTGATGGAAGATTATTAGTTGTTTGTTAATTTTTAAAAGTAAAGTAAAACAAAAACAAGAAAAAAGTTTAACTAGCCTCCTGCTATACTGACTACACGTTTGTAAAGTTCTCTGTAGCTGCAATATTGATTGATAAAAAAATACTTTTTGTTTACTAGGGTTAGTCAAAAATACAACCGCCAGAGTTTAAAATATCAGTAGATTTGGTCTCACATAGTAAATAACTATTATTATCTACACGCCAGTCTTACAAAAGACTGACCGGAGAAAGATTATATTTTTCTGATAATGATTTCAATGATTTGTTAAATAAAAACTAAAAGAAATCGTTCCTGCTTTAAATACATTTCAAATGTTTTGTGGTAACGAAAATTCTATAAACTCGGGAGTCTTGAGAGTTCCCAGAATTAAGTTCTACAAGCGCCCAAAATATCAGCCGAAAACTCGCGACCCGCACAATAAGTTGATTACTGTGCACTACATTGTATGATTTTTAAAATCAACTCTGTGTATTTGTTTTTGTCTTTTTATCACTGCATCCTTCATCGCAAATGTCAAAAGCATCAACCAGCTGCCCATGGTTGTTAATTCGCGAAAAGTCAATTTGGTGAAAGTGTCTATTTTCTGTTATTACCTAGTTTTTCACGGGATTTTATTTTAAATTTGTAATTATCAAACCAATATCCAAAATAGGAATTCATATCCTATAAGTTGTAGAGTTTAATAAATATGGAAAGTGGCAGGAGTTTCTGAAATGAAATGCTTTGTAGATAAAGAAAAATTGCAATTATATATGCGCAGATAAATCAATGTGTATGGGTTGTGTATGTGTATAGTGAAGAGTTTTTTTTTCGGTGACGAGTGTGAAAGAGCAACAGCTGAAAAATTAAATAAGTGGTTTAATTAATCGTGTGGTGCCGAAATAGGTGGTTTCTGCCCAATTTCAATATTAAAGTGGTATTTCTGATCAACTGCAAATAGTAAAATTAGCACAGTATGCGTTCCACTATAGAATTTGAGGAGTGTCTCAAGGATTCACCGCGTTTTAGGTAAGTTAATAAGGGAAGGATAAAATAAACGCGGAAGAGGAAGAGAGTTATGGACACAAGTAATGATACGCCCATTTTTTGTTCCCATTTCTGAGAATGTTTTTATTTCTGTAAGTTCATATGTTATTTCCCACTCAAACCCATTTTAATATTTTTGTTTCCATTATAATTGTGTGTAAATATTTCTGTTATCGTCATCAATTTTTTCTTCCTTTTGTATACATACATACACACATACATACATATGCACACACATGCATAGATGTTTGAACATTTCCGTTTGTAGCATATATAATATATAAAATGTGTCTATTTGCCACAAATATAAATATGTTTGTAGCTGGGTGGGAGTGGGTATGTTAAAGAATTTAGAGAAGGGGAGACGTTAGAAAATGTCTCTGTTCTGTGCACAAAGTAACTACATATTCATTGGCATATGTGCATAGATGCACAAAAGCATGCATTTTGTTGCCATTAATGTTCATCACTTTGCATGTCAGTAATTTTACATGGCAAACACCCAATTGCAGTTATCGACACGACTCAGCAGCACAACTAACAACTCAGCAAAGCCAGCGTTGTCAATTGTCATTCATTGCCGTCTGAGACTATGTGACGCTTAATCATCAACGAATTCCAACAAAACAATGAACTAAATTAACAATGAAGAAAAAAATTTGTTTGCAGTAAAAAAATTAATAAATGGAAAAAAGAAAAATCATAGGTATTTGATCAGATTATTTTAAATATATATCTATAGATATATGTATGTACATATATGTATATAGGCACCTACATACATACATGCATTTATTGTAATTTTATTTGACGTATTAAAAATAAATCTATAGATCATTATGTGAATATTATAAAGGTCGCGATTGTTTTATACAACAGTAGTTATTTATTTTTAACTTTAAAATATAAAAAAAAAATTTTTTTAAGAGAGTGAGGAATAACGCGGATGATTTTGTTGATAAAAAATTATTATAAGTTGTTATGAATGTCTATATAGACGTAGGTACTACAGCTTAAAAGAGATACAAATAATGACACGAATTACAAAAAAAGTAAAATTTAAAATTTTACATATATCAAAAATAAATGCGTTCGAAGCAAGAATTAATTTATAATATCATAACAAATTTAATTTTAATTTAGTTTATATATGTACATATATAATTTTAGCTTTAACGTCTTTGTATAAAAAGTTGGTGAAAAGTAAAATTTTTTTAAATGAAGAATTATATTTATTATTAATAGAGATTGGTTTGGCAGTGTTTGACGATATTGATAATTGATGTATAATTATTTTGGAATCTATATCAAAAAAAAAAAAAAAAGCATCGTGTTTTTATTAAACTCGACTGTCCGATTAATGGAATGAAAATTAAGCTTATTTTCGACGTGCGGACATCGAGCCAGTGTGACTGTGCCCTTTCCTGCATCATTCTACACGTTATATTTAAATTTAATTTTTTAATAAAAATAAAAAAAAAATATGCTGGCAAAAAAATGTGGATGTGTTAAGGTAGTATTTACTGAGCCCCTAAATATACTACCCAACCATATTTTACAAAAAAGGAAGCATTTTTTATATGGATATTTTCGTAAAAAAAATATGACTTTTAAACATAATACAACAAATATTAAAATAAAGTTGCGTTTGGAGAAAAAAATAATTTTTTGTTTTAAAAATGTCAACCATTCGCATCACAACGCAACGTTCTAACTATATCCGTACTGTTATAGCTGTAGATAGATTACACATCAATAGAAGATGAGGAGGTTCTCCCTCTCCTGTTGTAAATTATATATATATAATTGGTGCTTTTGTTACGGCTATGTATTTAGTGGCGATGCCGTCTGAGCGGATATAATCTTATTTATGTAGATGCGGTGAGGTTCTACAGCCACTACCACTGACCCGTAAAATCTCCCACAATAAATCAAAAATGACCTCTAATTTTATTTAATTTTTCTTTTTTTGTGAAGCATCCCGGATTAGTTATTTTTTACCTGGTTACCTGTAGACCTAAACGGGGTTAGGTCTCCGAAAGGGTGACAGCCCTTGGCCGGATAAAATCCGGGTCAACTCCGGTGCGTAGAACCGGCTGTCGTGAGAGTTTTTTACCCTGACACAACTCAGGTCTGGATATTGTAGCAGGTTATACTCCTACTTATCCAGACTAGACCCCATCATACCTAACGTATGCCCGGCATGTGGAGAGTCCCCGCACGACACTAACCACCTCTTCACATGCCCCCTCAAACCTACTCATCTAACCCCCCTCTCCCTTTGGTCCAACCCCGTCGAAACAGCTCGTTTCCTGGGCCTACCTTTAGATGACCTCGACGACTTAGACTAATTCAAGCCTGTGCCTAAGCGGGGTTAGCTAACCGCTACAACAACAACAACAACAAAAGTTATTTTTTTTTTTAAATATAGTAGTACAATATAATAATTTTCAATAGAAATGACGGTTAAGTGGATCTATGCTTACTGGATTTTTATTATTCCTTCATTTAAAACAAAACAAGCGTTCGATTACTTGTTTTATAAATGTGACTTACAAAAAAAAAAAAAAGAAAAAAAAAACACTAAGACTAAATTAGTATAAACTATTAAAATATTTTGACATTATTTTTATTATGAAAGTAAATTGGGCATGAAGTTTACAAAATAGTTAATTATCCGGTAACTAGCGCGTTTACCCTAACTATTTGATTTTGAAAATGATCAAAAACGAATTTTTATATCACAAGTATACATATATACATATGTGTGTTCATTGTTCGCATAGGAGATTGGCACGTTTTTTAAGAAATTTAATAATCAAATAATAAAATATTATACTATTGGGTTGCCCAAAAAATAATTGCGGATTTTTTAAAAGAAAGTAAATGCATTTTTAAAAAAACTTAGAATGAACTTTAATCAAATATATATGTAATTGCCATTTTGTTCGATAACCTTTCGCCATCTTCCTGGCAAATTTAGTATTCCACGCTCATAGAACTTCTGGTCTTTATCTGCAAAAAACTGAACCAAGTGCGATTTTATAGCCTCATCATTGCCGAAAGTTTTACCATTTAAGGAGTTCTGCAAAGATCGTGCAAGGTCAGGGCTATATGGTGGATGCATCAAAAGTTCCCAGCCAAGCTCACTCAGTTTTTGGCGAGTGACTAAAGATGTGTGCGGTCTAGCGTTGTCCTGGTGGAATATGACACCTTTACGATTGACCAATTCTGGTCGCTTCTCCTTGATGGATGTATTCAATTTGTCCAATTGTTGACAGTAAACATCCGAATTAATCGCTTGATTCCTTGAAAGCAGCTCAAAATATACGACACGCTTCCAATCCCACCAAACAGACAGCATAACCTTCTTTTGGTGGATATCAGCCTTTGAAGTGGTTTTGAGCTGGTTTACCATGCTTGGACCGTGATCGTTATCGTTTTCGACTAACGTTGTTGTAAACAATCCATTTTTCATCTCCAGTTATGATTCGTTTTAAAAACGGATCGAATTCATTGCGTTTAAGGTGCATATCACAAGCGTTGATTCGGTGTGTTAAATGAATTTCTTTCCATACATGTGGTACCCAAATATCAAGCTTTTCACCAGTCCAAGACTTTTTATGTGATAATGAACGGTTGATTTTGGTATATTTAACTTCTCTCCTATCTCACGCTCAGTTACATAACGATCCAATTCGATTAATGCTTTGATTTGGTCATCATCAACTTCATTTGGCCGACCTGAACGTGGCTCATCTTTAAGTGAAAAATCTCCAGAACGGAATTTGCGAAACCAATTTTGACACTGTCTTCCTTTTAAGGCTTCATCACCATACACATCTCGTAACTTTTTAGCAACCTGCTTCGCGTTTTTTCCTTGACGGAAATAATAAAGTAAAATATGACGAAAATGCTCCTTTGTGGGCTCCATATTAAAATTGACGCCAAACAAACAAATGTAAACAAAATTTCGCGCACTTTTTTTCTAAAGCAAGTTAAAAGTAACAGCTGATAACTGACAGAAGAAAGAATGCAATTACAGAGTCACAAGCCGTTGAAAAAATTTGTCAACGCCGACTATATGAAAAATCCGCAATTACTTTTTGGGCAACCCAATACTCTCATGCAAAAACAAAAGTAAAAAAGTAGACAAAGTCTAAGGCATCGCTTCTTAATACATAAATAATCAAAGAAATGCATTGTTATGTAGCTTGCTTGCAAATGTACATATATACATACAGACATACGTTTCCTCTTTTTTTTGCCAAAAATGTTTTATAAATAGCTTTATCAATTAAGATAACTTACATTTGTATATGTATGTATGTATATATGTATGTATGTGTGTATGTGTGTACCTCTGGCTTTTTATCTGAGTGCTTAATGCTATTTGCAAAATATTACAATTAGAGAAATATATATTTATGTATAACTGCTAAACTCTTCATTCCCTCCATCATTTCTTAACAGTGGAATATTTGAACTTCTTTGCCCTAAAAACATATAATATATTATATTAATAATACTACTTATTACATACTTCATCACTGTACTTCGAATGACGAATCTGCATTAAATTCGTGGCTTTTTGCGAGTGTTTGTGAAATTTTAGCGCGAAAATTCTGATGTTCTGCATAAATCTCAAAAAGTATACATATTTATATGTACATATGTAGATATGTGCTTAGTGCATTCGAATTCGATCTAGTAAATCCCGTGGTAAATATTTGACACTTGATTTTTTTATTATTATTATTTTTTTATTAGTTTTTTTTTAAGCGCCATTTCGAGCTAACAACAGCGTTATGCATACATAAGTCGCGTCAACATCCATTAATATTTACATAACATACATATATGTGTGAGTATGTACCTACACTGATTTATTCATCCGCGAAATTCACCTAATTAATATGCGCCACACGAATGTAATTAAAATATGCAACAATAACAAAATCGCATTCAATACTTATAAACTTACTTACTTATAAATATGCATAAGTATGTATGTATGTATTTATATAAGAGAGGAGCATTCAGTGTTTATGTAAAGCCAAAATGATAGTTATTACGTAAAAAATTCATAACTTAACCGTTAAAGATTATTTATTTCATGACATATTTATAAATATGTCACGAAAGCAAAAATAATGGAAGACAGAAATCATGCGAAAGTTAAAGGCAAAGGGTAGAGGTAGCAGTATAGAAGTGAACAACAAACAACAACAAAGATAAAATAAAACATTTCCAACTCATTTAACTTTTACTCTTAATTTACTCAGTTTCCTATATTGTTGGTTTATATGTACATGCATATGTACATGCATAAGTACATACAAACATATGTATGTATGTATGTATGTAAGTAACTTATTGTTTTAAACGCTTTTTTGCTTTTGTGGCACCTTTCATCTTGAATGAACGAGCTTGGTGTTGGCTTTGATGTTAATCGATTTGACGGCATTTTTCCATATACATATTTATTATTAATACACACATATGGTCGTTCCCTTATGTCCACACTTTTCCTCTTTTGTCTATTTGTTGTCAACAGAATATTGTTTTTTTTTTGTTTTGTTTTGTTTACGTATTCATCGTATAAATCACCAAAAACGCAGTGTAGAGGCACCACATCCGCTGATGCCTGTGCACTGGATGCTATAGATTTTAATATAAATTCTTTATTTTTCCCATTTTTTCATGCTCAGACAATTCATTTCCAAAGAAGAAACTGATATTGAACACTTGGAGCAGCGACTTGAGAAAATAATCAAACTATGCACTGTTGCTGTGGACTCGGGCAAAGAGTATGTCAAGAATCAGAGGTAATATTTCTTCTGTTTTTTTTTATTTTCTTTTCTTTATTTTATATATATTTTTTTTAATTTAATTTTTTTTATTTCTTTTTTTTGCGATTTTTTCCATATTCTTGTAGTTTCCAATTACTCATCGTATCGTTATCAATTGCAATTTACCCTCCTTTCTTATTGTTACTCTTTTACAGCGCCTTCGCTATGTCCTTATGGGATTTGCAGCAACATTTTGCCGATAATAAGAATGCGCACAATGCTTTGGGCAAACTGATACACTGTTTTCAGGTTCGTTAAATCTCTATTTATTTACTTTAATTGCTTTTAGTTCTTTTTTTTATTTATTTATTTATAAGTATTGGATGTAAGTAGATATTGTGTCGGTGGGTAGACTGTGTTGTTGAGAACGCTCTCCACACTCCACATAGCGTCACTCATTTAACCGGCGCGCACAATCGTCACTATTTTATTGTTACATTGTTGTTGTTTGTATGTAGTACACACTTAAATTCGATATCACCGTCGATTCATCAAAGTATTACTCACATTATTATAGCCAATCGTGCGTTTGTAATGCTTACAAACTTACGCTTGTGTGTATATATGTACATATGTATGTATACTAATATAAGTACAATTTTTGCCTCCTCCTATCTACGATTGCAGGAAATGAACAAGTTTCATACCATTTTATTGGATCAAGCGAGTCGCACGGTTTTAAAGAATCTAAAAGTATTCGTTAAGGACGATATCAATCAAGTTAAAGACTATAAAGGACATTTCCTCAAGGTATCGGAGGGATATGATAATGCGCTCATGAAAAATGCACAGGTAAGTGGTTAATTGCAATTGACTTATGAGTCACTTTGTTTGCATTTTTTTATTGTATTACTTTTTTGTTATTGTTTTTTTTTTTTTTTAATTTAATTTCACATTTTCGTAGGCAAGCAAAAACCGGCCACAAGAAGTATCAGAGGCAGCTAATATATTATCAGCTAGTAAATCATGCTTTCAACATACCGCATTAGACTATGTTAATTATATAACTTTAGTACAATCGCGTAAGGTTCCATCGATTTTATCAACGGTTAGTCGAAACAATTATTTCTATTGTCTGTTGTGGTCAAAAATTTAACAAAAATTAATTACATACATATATTTTCGTTTTTGTTGCTTTCAGCTCGTCGATTATTATCAGGCTTGCGTTACCTACTATCATCAAGGTTTCGATTTATGCAACGATTTTGATGAGTTCTTTAAGAATATAACGGAAGATTTGAATTGTTTACGTGGTGACTATCAAAAATTGGAAAAGGCCATGCAAAATCGTCATATGAGTGTTAATAATTTTTGTGATACAAATACGAATAGTACTTCGAATAAGATTGAAGGTTATTTATTTAAGAAGAAATCGAAAGGATTTAAAACATGGTGCCGTCGTTGGTTCTATTTAAGCAACAATCAGCTAGTCTATAGGTGAGTATATATATATATAAATATGCATAGTGTATAACGTCTATCATGTGGTAGGCAAGTTAAGTGAGAAGGAAACATAGAAATATTCGTATTTTACAAAGTAGTGCTAGTGACTAAGAAACTTATCGAAACGTGCACTATAAACTTGTGCTTAAAGTTCTAAAGTGTCAGTTTGCAACTTTGTTTTTTTTTTACCTTTTTTGTTGTATACAAATCTTACACAACTGTGTTAGAAAAATGTTTAGCTTGTTTTTGTGAACCTTTGAGTTGAGGTGATTGAATATAAATGGAATTTGTAATGAAAAAATGTGTAAGGTAAAACAATATTTTCTCTTACCAATTAGCCCGACTTGGGAATTTGTTAAGAAATTCGTATTTGTAATTAGAAAATATTATTGTGTTAAGTTATGTGGGAAAATGCGCTCATACGCTTACAAGTGTATTTGATAGCAGTTATTTAGATTTAAGTCTAAGGTAGAGCGTTGTAAAGAGAATTTTTCTAACTGGCAAAGTGACAGCTGAAAAATATTAACTCATTTGAAATTCTTCTAATTTAATCCTATTGCTTTTTAAAAACCCGTAAATCGTCATGACCTTCCACGAAGGCCTTCGACGCAGTTAATCGGACAATCACAGACAATCACTAGCACACTTTACTCCTATTCATAAATAGAACTTCGCGATCAAATATCATGCTCTAAACAAGGGATTGCGCAGTGTGGCATGCCCTACCCACTATTTTTTAAATCCACATCGCTCCAAAAAGTTTTCTTATGGCGATGTCTATTTTTTTGTTATTATAGCCACTAGCAAAACCCCGCCTAGAACATGCAAAATCAGAATCAAACTGATCGAGGTCATATAACGACAGGCTCAGCAAACGAGTTCTTTCGGCTGGAACGGACCAAAGGGAGAGGGTTATTTTTGATGAGTTGGTTTTAGAGAGCATTCAAAGAGGTAGTTAGTGCCGACAATCGACTACAATTTCCAGATCTTATTTGTGTCGGATCTTGTGTGGCGGTTCGAGCTCTTGATATGCTATGGGGGTGGTTGGATTCGGAGAACGCCAATCATGGGAAGAGAGTTTATGGAGATGTTGGCGGACTCTCGGTGAATGTCATTTAACAGCTCTCGGTGTGTCGCTATTCAACCGTTTGTTTTATAGTGTCGAGTAAGTGTCTGCTGGGGTGGTTCCGGTTAGTGCTTGCACAGAGCAGTATCTAAGTTTCACTATGTAAGTGGTGCATACGGAGCATCAGAAAGTTTTCCATCACGGTGTTTTAGCAGTCTTGTTACTTGTTCACATGCGTCTGGCTAGTCCACAGCGTCCAGATCCTTGCAACATAGCTTATGACCAGCCGGTCGATTGTGTACGCTGCTGGGAACTGTGGCGCAAAGCTTGGTTGCGTCAGTGGAGAGGTTGCATTACTTTAAGCTCTTCACCCACTTGATGCGATTATACTGATTGACCATTTGTCGAATCTCCAGATTGAGTTCCCCGTTTTGGGGATCACCGCAGCTTTAGTTGAAAAGTTTGGGTAAAGTTTCGCTATTGGGCGGCAGCTGTGAAGCGAACGGAAAAGATGTTCAGCAATAACGTTAGTTGAAGCAGAAAAGGTAATGCAGGTAAATTCCGTGAAGCCAGTCCGATTTTTTGAAATTGACAAATGTCCGGTAATCCGCAATAACTAAATCGCGTGTATGACGAACGATACAATTATGGGCAAATGGACTGATGTGAGGGTCACGATAGAAAATATCTGGCGAACCATGGTAATTTGCAGCCAATTCTGGCGGGTGATATATGCTTGATCTAGTTGTCTAAGCAGGGAATGTCAACAGCGCCCACATGATCACCCTGCAGATATCTGCTTGAAGTAGAGTCGTATTCCAAGTCCAGACATTGGAACAATAATAGACATGTGCAAAGACTCCCATTCAAAACACTCTTATTACTATGCAGGTGCCCTTGGCAATGGTTGTAAGCGGTCCGTTTTATTCGTGTATAAACACCTGACTAGGTGTGTGAACTCTTCATGGTGCCAACCTCCTTAAACCAATTTGGAAGTGTCAAGATCTTAAGCATGTCTTAGGCATGCACATTTATTACTCTCAAAAGTACCGTTAGATATTTTCTTATAGATACATTTTATTCTACATTCGTTGGTTCAAATCATGGCTGAAAGTCGATTAGACTTTGTCATCTCTCACTGTTAGGGAGAAGCATTTTTCATCTTTAATTTTTCTCTTTGGGCAGTTTATAAAGGAGCGTTGAAATTTATTATAAATACATCCAAATGTAATTTTTCCCTTCATTAATTTTTTAAAGATTATTTTTTCGCAATTCATTTCATAATTTTGCACAGTAGTCTTTTATACATAAATAGTTTGATAAATTAAATTATTTATTATTCCCAACTCCTGCCATAAACTAGATTTACATTTACATTTTAGTATTAATTTTTAGTTTGTAGCGAAATTAGTTTTAGTTTTAGTTTTTAGCTTAGAAATCAATTCGCTTTTTGCATCTCAACTCGTTGTATGCGTCCTAATTTTTACCATTTATTTTATGTTTGTGTTGTTGTTGTTATGGTTGGTTGTATCGTGTGCCATGCCATACCTCCACTACTCTCGTACATACCCACCTACTACTATAACTACTATGTACTACCACTACTACTACTACTACTACTACCTACTCTACCTACACATATTTGCCAATTTATGTTGTTGTTGTTGTAACAAAAAACAAAACGCTGAAGTGATTTGGATTCGAATTGCAGAAAACGCAGTAATGAGGATTCATTCTCCGTTATGGAGGAGGATTTGCGCATTTGTACAGTGCGTCCCGTCAACGATGGTGATCGACGCTTTTGCTTCGAAGTTATATCGCCCACAAAGTGAGTTTAACTGCGAGATGATGTGTCCTTTTTTTTTTTTGTACATTTTTCGAAAAAAAAATGTAATTTCTTCACTTCCAGATCGCATATCTTGCAAGCAGACTCCGCTGATATGCTCTCACTGTGGATTTCGGCATTGCAAAAGAGTATTGGTGCTGCCATACAGCACGACAGTCAGCATTCCAGGCCACAGTCGTCGCTGGCGACGAATGCCCTCAATGCGAAAAGGAAAATGTGAGTACAATTGCATATACATATATATACATATGTACATACTAAGTAGACTATCATTTCTTTACCCTCTTTTCTATAGCCATTGGGAGGAATTCTTGAAAATTCCCGGCAATTCACAATGCTGCGACTGTCGCGGCTCAGATCCGCGTTGGGCTTCCATAAATCTCGGCATAACGCTGTGCATCGAATGCTCTGGCGTGCATCGTAGCTTGGGTGTACACTACAGTAAAGTGCGTTCGCTGACACTCGACGCCTGGGAGGCAGAGAATGTGAAAGTGATGATGGAATTGGGCAATAATGTTGTGAATCGCATCTATGAAGCGCGTATTGGTGAAAATTGCGAATTGAAGGCGGCCACCGAGAATTGCGAGAGCAGTGTACGTGAGGCGTGGATCAAGGCAAAATATGTGGAAAAACGTTTCGTTTGCGCCATGCCGAAACCGCAGGAGCTACTCTCCAGCGAAACTGCTGAAGTGCTGTCCATAGACAGTGGAGGTGGAGGTGCTGGTGGTGGTATTGGTGTTGGTGGCGTCGGTTGTGGTGGTGATGCTGAAGAATCACGTAGTCTAAGTAAGACAACAACACTATCATTAGGCGCACGCAAATGGGCGGTGAAAAAATACCGTCGTCGCCGACATCGTGATAGACATCGTTCCAGTTCCAAGTCAGACGATGATGACGAATCCATAAATCTTCCCTCGCTCTCGTTGAGTATATCACGTGAGGATTTGCTGCTGATTGGTGATGATTTGGCGCTGGAATCGGATGAAACGCCCGCCATATTGGGTTCGGATCAAGAGTCAACCGATGGGGAAATCGAACCGGAGATATTAGATGAGGTGCCCTTTTCAAAACTAGATGCGAATCTCATGTTGTACAAAGCCGCTGCGGTACATAATTTACCTGTTATGTGCATGGCGTATGCGTTGGGTGTCAATAAGCATTGGAAGAATCCAAATGATCACAATCGCACTTATTTGCATCAGGCGGTGTTGTCGGTGAGTGTTGAAAGCATCGTTTTTAATCGTTATTCTTTTTTCTTGTACGGTCTCTGTGGGTCAGCGCTGTCAATCAAGTTTTTGCGCATATTTAGGGACTGATTAAATTAGTCTTTTATGAGTGGTTGTGATGTATTTAGAACGCGGAAAGTAAGGTGTCAGATAAGTGGCTTTAAGGAGGTTTTATTGGTGGCGAATCCAAAAAGGAACGGATTTAACAGGCCACTTTTTCCTGGTTATTATTAGTAATAGAAAGTAGCTCCAGCTCTTCGACTTTAACCAAAAGCTAGCTTAGGACTCTGCGTAATCAGGGAAGATCTTTCTATTATGCCCCACAGGCGTGCTGTAGAAATGTGGAAATTACATTTAGATTGGCGCAGTTTAGCGCATGACTGTCCAAATGATTCTCTACATATATATACATAATTGGCGCTTTGTAACCTCTGAAGTGAATTTCGGCCAAGCCCAATTCGGAGGAAAGATTTACGGTCAAAGCCAGCCGACAGTTGTGACAAAGATAATGAAAATGTGTAGTCAAGAGCAGCCTGCTTAAAGTAGTTTTTTTTTCAAATTGTGATTGGCGATCAGAAAAAACACAGAATAATCGAGAAGCAGCACCAGGTTAAGTTAGGCCAGAAGGGTACGGAAAGACCTGCCCCGCGTACCATCTGCCGAGCAGAGTTGAGAATAGCTCAAAATTTACTTCAGTTTATTTACTACTACTACTTACTGTGTATTTAGTTATTATTATTATTTTTTTTTTTTTGTTTGCCCTTCAACTTAGGGCTCCGTTATGGCTTGTGAGTACTTATTATTGAATGGTGTGCCTATCGATGCGGCTGACGATAATGGCGAGACTGCTTTACACATGTCCACCGCCAAGGGCTCCATAGCGCAGGTGTATTTGCTGCTCAAACACAAAGCCAAATATGACACGGAATCGAATGATGGCAAGAACCCGCTAAAAATAGCGGTTGAGCAATGTAATGCGGACATTGTGACGCTGTAAGTGAAACCTTTTCAGATCTATAAAATGCTTCATAGGCTAATACCATCTACATTTTGTTCTCTTTTTTTTTTTAGTTTGCGTCTGACGCAGCTAAACGACGAAATCGGCATGAATGACGAAGGTAATGGTGAAGATGAAACGTATAAGGATGTTATGAAGGACTTTTCCAATTTTGCGTCAAATCTACCACGCATGCTGCGCAATCGCAACGATGCAAATACACTCGAATCACAGCGTTCTTCCCTCACCAACTCGGATTAAATAGGCCGTGTAACAAATATTAATTAATTAAAATCATAGTAAATGCAATCGTACACGACATCAAGCACACAAATATTCTTAATAGTAAAGAAATTGAAATAATTTATAAAAAAAAATCAACCGCTTTTGGTGTAAACACGTGCTAAAACAAAAACAAAAAAAAAACGAAAAATTTCATATATATAAACAAAAATTAAAATTTACTGAACTTACCAATAAAGAATATTGACTGTCTAAATAATGGAGGGCTTGTGCTTGTCTCCTGTTGAGCACAATATACATACATATACATATATATTAAAGTATTTTGAATATTTGTACCTACTATATTACATATACATATATATACAAGACATATTTAGCACATATTCGTATGTATTTGAACGCATGATCTTACAACATTATCATACAAAGTGCTCTAGTTAAAAAAACAGAAGAAAAAAAAACCTAACAAAAAAGCTGTAAAAAATAACTGAGGATATTAAATGATGAGTTAAATATGAATTTAAAGAATTTTATATATTTCGTGTACATTTAAATACTAGTTCATCGAATGCTGACTTGTTTAAAGAAAAATGTTAAAAGCAAAAAAAAAAACAAAAGTGTTTTAAGAAGACTTTGCCAAAATTGTTGCTATTTATATACTACTTGTTTGTTGGATATTTAAAACGCGTAAACTGTACTTGTTCATTGTTATTTCACTGATGAGAAAATATTTGTTGCAACCATCAACCATTCAGAGTAGTAAGTTCTATTGTGTATTATGCATTTACTTAAACGCTTGCGCAGATTTGTATTGTATTTTTTTTTTATGACACGTATTCTATTTAGATTTAGATTATAGGCGCATAAAGTTGATAATGAGAAGAAAAGTATAAGTATTTATTAAAACATTCAAGAAATCATATTCTTCATACTTCCAATAGTTAAGTTAAATATATTTAGAATATTGTTTGTATTTATGTCACGTTTTTATTGCAAAAATCTGTTTGTTTAATTGTTTTCTTTTACAAAAGGAAATATTGATTATCGAAATTTATACCGCATATATAATGGCAAACAAGATAGTATTGAGTAAGTGCTAATTGTTTTTGTGAATTTCTCAAAAATTTACAATTTTTCATATTGTTATACCGAATAAATACTAGTTAGGCATTTACCTAAGCTACTTACTTACATATATAGATATATATATATATATATATAATAATGTATAGAATACATTAACATAAATAATTAAATGTTTCAAATATATTGTAATATGCATATTTATAATGTTTAGTTATTTATATACATACGTGCATATATTTGATATACAGATACATATACATATATACAATTCAACGTTTTAACAGCTTCTGTGAAAAATTTGCTAATTGTACACCTGTTCATGTCCGTATGTGTGTGTGTGTGTGCGTGTATGCTGCAAAGCATATACAAAAAATTACAACTATGCATAAATGATTACATAAATAGAAAAAAAATACATATTTATTTAAAAATGAAATCGGATTTGTATTTATTACTAAATGGAAAACATATTTTGGGGATCACACAAGAGCAGTGATTATAAAAAAAAATGTTAGTTGTACAAGGAGTGCACGACTTTTTAGATAAGAAAGGTACCTCCACTAAGCCTTTTGTTTCAGCAAATTTGAAAAAACTATTTAGAAAATCGTGATTTGTGGCAAAAACTTCAGAAAACAATGCTTCAACAAAATCTCAACAATTTAATGCAGGCAAGAATTGCATATTTTATTTTGAAATACTTAATATATTGATACTACAGTAATTGTTAATTGATTTTTCATAATAATTTTTTCTTTTATCAACAACAACAAATAGATATCAATGCTGAAGAAACATGCCAGTTTTGCGAGATGAAACCGGTATCAAACATCAACTCATATATCATTAGAGTACGGAAAAATTATCGGGAGAATATTAAAATACCTACACACCTTGCAATTGCAGCAAAATCACATTAGGTCGTCCAATTCTTTAAGCCTGTTATAGTATTTTAGGCACTTAGGGTTGAGCGATGTAATGTGATGTTAGAGCGTACAATAGACCGAAAGTTGCGTTGGGGGAGGACCCAAAACATCTTAATATGTATGCTAGATCTAAAACATAATTTAAATATTAAGCTAACATATATATTGATGCTTCATAGCGATTAAACGCCACAAAACTAATTATAATACAAAAAAAATGGCAATAGTTTATTTAATGTCATTATTATGAGCAAACTAAAAATTCCGCACCATTCTCCTCGCCCGTATCGTCGGCATCATAAAATTCCACATCCGTCATTTTCTTTACACTCTCCGATGTAGCAGCTTTTCCATGTACATTTGCTATATGCCGTTTTGTGGATGAACGATCAGCAAATTTGCGGCCACATTCTGTACACTGGAACGTCAAGCCCGTGTGCGTTACCAAATGTCGACTAAGTCCCGATGTGTGACTAAAACGTTTGGGGCAAAGATGACATGAGAAACGTTGTCCAACCGACACTTCGGAGTGTGCTCGAAGTGTGTGATTTAGAAGATTATTCTTTTGTGTGAATGTCCGCCGGCAGTGTGCACACTTGAACGGTCGTGCGCCTGTGTGTGTTAGCATATGCCGTTTTAGCACTTCTCTTTGTACAAAAGATCTACCACATTCTTCGCATACATGCGGCTTCTCACCAGTATGTATGAGCTTATGACGATTGAGCGCACTCTTGCATGATAAATATACTGAACATATGGAGCATTGGTAGGAAACACCAAGTTGTTCGCCTTTTTGATGTGTGCGTAGGTGACGATTCAATGCATTGGCTGTGGAGAATTCCATAGGGCATGCATCACATTTGAATGTTTTCGGTGTGTCAGTTTTCCGTACAGCCACTGGATATCCTGAGCTCTCATTGGATTCAACGGCAGTAGTTTTGTCGTTCGTCACTATTTGTTTAGTAAATTCTGGTTTGTTTTGCGCTTCCGCTTTTGCTTCTTGTTCTTCCTTTTCATCGCTGGTACTTTGTGCGGATTTTGTAGACTTCTGTTAGATTGAAAGAAGATGTATATATAAAAAAATACTTATGTATTCTGTATATTACGAACCATAACATATATTTTCTTTAGATTTGTGAAATTCATTGGCTCTACTGATTGACACTCCATATCCTCAGGTAAATTTAGAACGATAACACCATTTTCCTCATCGTTTTCATCCTCATTTGCTCCCTCGACTTCGGCACATTCAACTTCTTCATCGACAGCATTATTTGAAACTTTTTTGTAATACTCTACCTCACCGGAATCTGCAACTTTAATTATGTATATATTAATACTTTTATCTTAAATATAATGAAAAAGAATTACTGTGATATGACTCCTCCGTAACAGGTTCTTGGTTATTGCAATCCGAGGCTGTTAAACGAAAATTTGTGAAATACTCAAATGCTTGACTCTTCTCAATTTTTTGTCGTTTTCTTGGTGACTTTTCTGACGAAATGGAACCTTCATCTTCGTGGCTGTTAATTGATTCTATTAAGTAGAATTCAGGTTCTTCTTCGTCTTCTCCATTAACTTCATCACCGGCATCAGTTTCTATTTCTCCACAAATTGCGTCTTGTTCAATAACTTGCTCCTGATTAGAAGTTTCTGGTTCTTTAACTGTTGCTTCTTTTCGCTTAACTCTTACAGTTTTCACGGGAAGATCTACTTCTATGGAATTCAATAAAGTTTCTTTCTTCGCGGCCGAACTTGAACCTTTTTTTTTGTTGAGAAAACTTTGCAAGTCGTCCAGCAACGCAAGCCGCTCTATCTCACGACATTCATCCACTACATCGTCACGTAATTCAACTTTTGCTTGTTCTAGACATTCTTCGCGTAATACGGTTCTTAATTCCTGTTCCATTTCACTACGCAACTCTTCTTTCACTTCACCAGCAACTGTACTACGCAGCTCAGCCGCAACATCCGCCCGCAATTTTATTTTATACTCCTCGATCCATTCCTTTTTGATTTTTGAAAGTTTTTCGTTGAATTCTCTTTGTAGCTTTTGTTCCCAAATTACAGTTTCTGCTGCTTGCTTGTTTTCGTCCTCTTTTTGTATAAATTTAATGGAATCTTCAAATTCGAGTTCATCTTCGAAATCATCATCCTCCGTATTGGCAAAGACACGACTTTTCTTGCCAAGACTAAGTAATCGTATATGCTTGCGCAATTTACAATCTGACTTTTGGCTACGCTTGCGGAAGTAGTAAGACTTTTCTAATTGGTACCGACATTCACTGCATATTGATTTTGGTAAGCCATCACCTGATTGAACTTCCAAAGAGGCACAGGCCATGATACGCATTGGAATGGAAAGTTGAACAGTTGTGTTTGCTCCCGCAGAGGCGCTAGCAGTTTGCGGGAAAATATCAACGAGTTCCCGCTCATCACAAACACGCAAGCAAAGTCTGCACATTTTCTCCAAATCAGGATAACTTTCTTGTTCCATTTCACAAATTTTTTTTTATTTCAAGCACACAAATTACAATAGAAATGTAGAATTTATTTTTATTCACTAGTTAAGCATCATTCAACGTCCGATTGATAAACAAAACCACATGAAGATGATGCTCTACTATCGATACTCGATATGTTTTAATCGATGCTACTTTCAATTAGTCCAATAGATTTAAATTTTAAACAAATTTTTATAAAGAGATAGAGACGAAAAATCTGCTCGATGGGTACCTCGAATTTTAAATGAGGCGGACAAAAAAATCTATAGTGCATTTTGCTAAATTTTTTATAAACAAATTCGAAAACGGTCAGACTATAAACTTTAGTAAAGTCGTTACTGGTGACGGATGTTCGTTCCATGAGCACGATCCAGAAACCTAACAGCGATCCATGGTATAAAGCCCAACAGTAGCAAACCCACCCATAAAAAAAATTAGCTGCAAAGGTATTGATGTCAGTTTACTTCATAGGATCTAAAATCGTAGCTGCTATTCCACTATTGCTGCTCCCCGGATAAAGCAACTTCGATTTCTGGTTATTTCCAAAAATTAAGAAGCAAAGGTCTTTAATATCTTAATAAGCAAGATTTTGAAGACTGTTTTAAGAAGTGGATCTATAGGTTAAAGAAATACATAGAAATCAATGCTGATTATGAAAAGAAAATAAAAATGGATAAAGATTACGACTTATTTTTCTGGTCAATTTACCGAACTGTGGTTAATCCCTTCGTATATCGATGAAAGTCATCGATAAAATTTAGCAACGAAATTAAAACTTTTGAATTGGTTAAAAAATTGTCCAAACAAATGTTGCCACTCGCAATTTAAAAATGAAAAAATTGGAAGCAAAAACAACCGAGTAAGCAGAGTGTACTAACGCGTCGAAGTTCTTTGGTCCGAATACATAATGGTAAAAAATTAGGAGTATTTAATGGAGTAAAATTAGAAAAAGTTTTTTTTCGTAACAAAGTCGCTTTTTAGCAGCCAATATGACATTTTTGGCATACAAATCGGGAGGCTCTTCCAAAAACGAGTTATCTTGCATGAAGAGTTTCATTTTGGAAAATCTCATAAAACTTTTATTTTTACAAATACCAGAAAAGATCTGTTTTTATTATACACATGTACATTGTTGAAGAATCAAAACCATTGATTTTTGGTTGAGATCCTCCAAAATTTTTCTACGTAGCCACACAAGTGTTTTCAATCGGTATGTTTGAGAGTGATATTTGCTCGTATATATATTTTAATTTCAGAAGTTGTTTGTACAAATATTCGAACCATTGGCACTTCACATGCTAACAGTTACGCCGCAAATAATATCCGCATGTAATAAAAAATTCAAGCTTACATTTCAATAGGCTTTTACGTTGTTACCGTTGCGAGGTTACATTTACGTTACGTATCTTAATCTGAACGTTTAAAAAATTAAAATCGCTCTGAACATACAGTGGCAAGGCTTCGATTGTGCGATAGTGAAAAATGTAAAAACAGTGATAAGAAAATTGTGAGAATTTTTATTAAGCCGGACATAACTGATGGAAATCTAACAAATTCAAAACGTGTTCTTATTACATTCTTGCCTGACATCGTTTGGAATACTAGTGCCCAAGTAGAGTGTATTAATATTGTTTTTATTTAAATAACTAAAACAAAAGTTAAAACTTAAATTAGGTAAGAAAAGTTACGATGCTTAAATATCTGTTTATAAGTAAATATGCACATACAAACATACATATTCATTTGTAGTATATATGTAAATATTTGCCTCTTTGTGTACGCACTGTATTTGCCGGTTTGTTAGGTCAAATACTGACAATGAATGAAGTAGCCACCAGTTGATTGATGTATACATTATTGATAAAAAAAAAACACCAACAAATAATGGTGTACACATTCGAACAGTGGTCTTGATTTCGTCATCCCACTTGTAAACATAAAGGAAATTTTATATATTTGTTTCTATGAATAAAATCATTTTCATGTCTTCTAATCCTTCCATATTGACGATGACGACGATTTCATTACGGTTTTTTGTTTCGGCATTCGTTTTTCATGTCACACTACTTATTTCCATAGGCGTGCGCATTTGTATCTTTCTCATTGCTAATCTTATTCCTTTTTTCACTAGACCGTTGTTGGTAATTGCTCATTAGACGCCTTTTGTGTCATCTGTGGATATTAAGATTAGTACACTACACACGGGTGTGGTAGGTTTATAGAAAAATAACAATCATAATAATCATCATTATCCTTGCCCAAAAGGAAATACTTATTTGATTTCGAAATTTTAAGTTTTTGCTATGGCGATATAGCTAATAAGCTGGCCAAATAATTCTTCCAACCTTGAAAACTCTTTTTAAGCAATGAAGTAACGTTAAACCAATAAAAAATAAAAATAAAAATTTTAAGTTTGATGGCCACAGCAGGAAAGTTTTAAAAATTCCTTTTCTACGTGTTAATGAAATTTGTAGTAGGTATTAAAATTAAAAAAAATTTTATATTAAAAAGTAAGTTTCTCCAGTTCTTATCTCTACAGAAAAATATAGTTTTAAAATTTCCACCCAACCCCATACTGATTCGTAATTGAATTAGACAAACACGATTTTATCACGTTCCTTAATGTTAGGTATATGATCACACTGTTTTAAATATAATTTAACGTCTTAACTACATATGTATGTCAGCGTAGTTTAGATAGTGTGGCCATTATTATAGGGTGTCACTCTTTCCATAACACCGCTGAAGAGATAGCGTACGAATGTCTTTGTTGAAAAATAAAATAAATAAAATATTAGAAATAATAGCGTCTCTCAGACATATGTGATTCTTTAGAGCCAATTGCCACCTCAGTCACATTTGCAACTGCCAGCGGTGTTGTTATCTGCTCTCAGCTTGTGTATAGATTTTTTTATTCGTTACATTTCGTCTGGTTGTCTGGTCGTCAGTTGCGTATTCGAAATATTTCGCGCCAGTGATTGTTTTTTTTTTTTGGTAAATTTGAATTTATTTTTATTTGCTTTTGTTTTTAGTTCACCCTTTGGCAATCGGAGGTGTATCGATCGTTGCCAAGTGATAGGTAATTACTTTCTGTATACGGGTTCAGGTAAAGATCAGACCATTCGTGGCGGTTCAACTGCGGATTAATTTAAAAAATGTCAAATTGTGCAATTAGTTCAATGCTTCGTGTGTGTTTCGATGATTTATTGAAAAAAAAAAATTAAAAGTGATTATTTTTTCCGATTTTTCGTAACGTCATCTACATATTTCACGGTTGTTTATTGTGTGGACATGCCAAAAAATATCACAGTTTCACCAAAAATTGCCACCAATAGTGCTTTTGCTGGCCAAACAGATTGTCAGTGATTTCATTTTTACCTCAGCAAGATTTTCCACATTTTATTGCTTACCTATCGACCGCTTTTGCTCGTGGAATTGCGCTTCTCACGCGTATTCATGCCACCCAAACTGCCCACACATTTGTGTATCTACTAATAGGCATTCGATTTTAGCCAGCAATCGGACGCGCTCAATACCGGCAATGGGTTTTCAGTGAACGTCAAAAAAAAATTTTTTTTTTTTTTTTATTTTATTTATTTGTTTGTTTTTGATTCAATAAAAGTTTTAAGTTCTATTTTGGTACTGATGTTAGCGAAAACAAAATTCACTTATTAAAACAGCAAATTTTATGAATCGACAAAATGTTTACGCATCCGTTCACAGTCAAGTACCTGCATATACATACATATGTACATATGTATATGGAAATATAAAAATTTCCAACATTCTGTATGTTTACCTTTTTTTTTGTGTTTCGCACTAACTCATGGCAAAATCTTTGATGAAAAAAAAATTTTTATTAACTCGAAGTGTTTGAAGCATCTTCTTCTCCTTATTTCCATTTGCAGTTGAATTACGTCAACAACTTGTTAAAAAAAAATATATATAAAAATAAATAAAATAAAATGAGTTTACAATCTATTAAATACGTTCCGGGCAAATTGGATATTTTGGATCAGCTGTTGCTGCCAGTGCAGTCCAAGTATGTAGCTGTGAAAGGTGTCGAGGATGGATGGAAAGCAATTAATAAAATGCAGGTGAGCAGAAATCTCAGTATAAATTATTGCATGCTTATAATCGTTTAGCTATGTATAAATTTGTTATATTTATTCTATAAATAAGTTATTTTAAGATACGCAGATTTGCTTGAACATTTGTTATATGGAGGGAGACGCAACTATTTCAGTCTTATTAATTTCAAATAGCGTATAAAATACAACCATGTACAGCCTTGGCCAAAAGTATTAGGCCCCACACTAATTACTGAAGTTTTTGTTTTAACAAGTGAAGGAATGAAGCTTTATTTGTAAAACAACAACAAGAAACATTTAGTAGGTCCACCATTCGATTCTATAACGGCAGCAATTCTCTTAGGCATGTTGCGTACAAGCTTTGCACATTCGTCCGCACTAATAGCGTACCACTCGCTAATTAAGGCATTCTTTAAGGCTGTTTTTGATGTTATACTGCGTTTCTTTGATTTTAGACAAGGAGCATTGTCTTGTTGAAATAGTATCGCCGAAATGCGCGTTAACAAAGGCAGATGAACAGTTCCTAATACATTTATGTACTTTTGACTATCCATGCGACCCTCGCAAACGAACATTTCGCCGACACCATCAGCCATGCAGCCCCAAAACATAATGCGGCCTCCTCCATGCTTAACAGTAAATCTGGATGACATTCTTCCCCAATCCGTCGCCTCACGAATGTCACACCAAATCAAATATCTGTAGAAAAGAAAAAATATTGTTTTCATAAGATTTATATAATGTCTTCAAAATTGCTCTAGGGTAAGAAGCTATGGCTGTTAATACTTTAAGACGATCTTAAGTAAGCTTATCTCGAAGTTTGATTCATCAGAACACAGAACATTCGATCAATCTTCTTCCGTGAAATATTGGTATCGGCGAGCCCATTCCAAACGATTTTTTCCATTCTTTTCTGAGAGCCACGGCTTCTTTCGGGCTTTACATCCTTTTAAACCTGCTGCCAGAATTCTTCTTCTAGCTGTTCGAGCCCTAACGGGTTTAATAAATTCATCCGAAAGGACAGCTGCAAGGGCAGAAGAAGATTTTTTGCGATCCTTGGGAGACTCGCGTATAAGTATTCGGTCTTTTTGTTTACTGGTTAGTCGCTTTTTTCCACTTTTTTATTTATTATTGTGGGATTTCGTCTCCACAAATTGCCTTAAAGCATATTGGACCGCGCACCGCGAACTTCCCACTAAATTGACATTCCCAACCTGAGACTTACTTTCTTCACTTAGAACTTGAATTCTAACTCTATCACCGTAACTAATTTCACTTTCTTTAGGCATTTCGGTTAATATGAAATGTTTTTATAAGATTGGTAACTTTTCACTAAATGTAATTTACTCTTTCACTTTCAAATTTTAAATGCGAAAATATTTTATGATTTTCTTAAAAATGAACGTTTTTAGATTTAGCTTACCCAGTGTGCTATGACATTTCATATTACACAGTTTATTCGTTTAATCAACAGTTAAACACCCATGTAAGACATTAACAAAGAGAAGTGGTAACTTTGATGGCCACATTTGAGAATACTTGTATTTTAGTGCGGTGCACAATACTTTTGGCGAAGACTGTATTTATGTAATGTGATTTATGGAAGAATTTACTTTAACTAACTTCTTTATCTATGAATTTAATTTATAAAATCCTCTTATCAAGTAAGTTATATATGAGCTTGATTTAAGAGCCCGACAACTCCTTATCGCTCTCTGATCATAATTCTTAGCCAAAGGGATGAAAATGGTAACAACATCACAAAATCCTACTAACATAAGATATGTTCCCGCAAAAGAGTCGTACGCAGTTAAACTATATACTTTAAAATATCTGGAAGCGACAAAAGACATATCTTCTTTGCTACTATCCGTACGAAATTTGTGGAATTTTAAAGTTTGTGAATTAACGATTTTTACCGGAAAAATTATTTTTCTGCCAGTTGAAATGCAAGTTGCATGTAAAATTCTCTATAAAACATTCTAATTTACTTAGCTCTCAGTTCATCATCAATTATCTTTCTCAAAGTATTTTGCACACATTTTGCCATCGAATAACACAATTCGCATTGTGTATATATTTTTTTTTGCCTTCATTCCTCGCCGATGAGCCATTAATCGGTCGTTTAGAATAATTCTTAAAATAAAATCAAATTAATTAATTTAATTATACACGATTTCGTCACAAAATGCTTTGATTTATATAAAACTACTCTCACCGAGACCAAATTTATGTCAGTTGTACTGAATGAATTTAAGTATACCCACCCTGTTGGAAAAAAAGAATAAATTATTCAATATTAGTTGTTATTATTGGGAACGACAAAAATACCTTGAATGAATTAAAAAAAGGAAGTAAAGAATTATATAAAATAATATGAGTTATTTAAGCCAAATTAATTTTTTTTATTTAAAATCCGATGTACATCTTTGCTCTCGCCGTTTTTTTCCAAAATTAAAAGCTTTATTTGGAAAAAGCGCTTACAGATATATTATTTAAAGTTTTGTCCTTCGCTCATCCCATCTTTCCGGTAATTTTCGGATCCCGGCTCGAAAAAAGGAGTCCTCTTTTGAAGCTATCCATGAAGAAATCCATTTTTCCAATAATTCCAAGGATTGAAAATGTTGATCTGCCAGGCCGTGTGCCATCGAACGGAATAGGTGGAAGTCAGAAGGGTTGACATCTGGGGAATACGGCGGGTGGGGCAAGACTTCCCATTTCAGCGTTTCCAGGTACTTTTTGACCACTTTTGTGACGTGAGGCCGAGCATTGTCGTGTTGAAGGATGACTTTGTCATGTCGCTCTTGATATTGTGGCCGCTTTTCTTTTAGCGCGCTACTAAGGCGCATCAGTTGCGTTCGGTAGCAATCTCCTGTAATAGTTTCACCCGGTTTTAAGAGCTCGTAGTAAATCACACCGAGCTGATCCCACCAAATACAAATTATAACTTTGGCGCCGTGAATATTCGTCGAAACCACTCCCGACACGTTCTTTCCCTCAGAGCAGCATCACTTGCATTTTTTTTCGAATTGTAACAGGAAAGTAAAACTTCCCGCAAATGGCGAGAGAATTAGGCACATTCACTGTCACTGAAACGGCGTTGACAATTCGTTAGGCACTGTCCACACTCACTTTAAAGGCATTATCATCTATATATTTCAACCAGCCTCAGCCGGTACAGCCACCTATCGGAAAAAGGCGGAAGCAAAGTTGTACACCTGATACATACATAATTGACGCTTTTTAACCGTTGAAGCGATTTTCGGCCGACCTCCTCCTCCAATTTGTGGTGTGCGTCTTGATGTTTTTCAATGAGGAGCTTTTATTTCATGACAGAAATACACTCGGAGGGTCTGACAATCCCTGCCAAAGCGCGACCGATATTAATTTTTTTTATTTAAATTATATTTATATAATTTTGGATGTTGGTCGGACCAGTACTCAAACGCCGGCCTTCTGAATGGCAGTACGCAAGGCTATCGCGGGCGCCGAGTTATATTAAAGAAATAAAAGAAAGGGAAATTATTCCACTGTCAATATTATAAATTTCCTCTGTGGCACAAATACTATATTTATACAAACAAACCAATTTGTACAGCCACTTAAAAATAGTCCCACTCATCAACGCTTTGATTTAAATAAATAGCCGCTGTGTTCTTTTTTCCTTTTTTTTTTTTTTGAATTTTATACCCTTCACGTGCATAAAATGGTATGTAGATTTTAGTCCGAAGTATCTAAGTACTAGTAAGAGAAGAGATAGACCCACCAAAACTCATATCGATCGGATCAGAAAACGAGTTGAGTTGATTTAGGCACGAGAATTTATATTTAATCTAAAAATGAAATATCATAAATTTTCACCTGGTCATGAAAGGTATAAATAATTCGGCATTGTTGTTGTTACCATTATTATTTCGATTGATATGTGAAAATGTTGTGTGTGCCCAAGAGTTATCGTTGTCAAAATCTTAATTGTAATGCGGATCGCAATGATCATTACCAGCGGTAATGTTAATAGAGAAATCTAAAAATCTTGGTACCTTTGCTTTACAATAATGTCAAAAGGCGTAAACGTGCCGCGATTGTGTGATATGCTTCCCTTGTATATTTGAAAATGCACTATGCATGCAGTATATTGTTTCAAGGCATTTATGTGCCCATTTATGTCAGAATTTGATCAAATCTTTTCTAGACTGGCTCAAGTGTAAAATTTTCCAAATATTCTCCACTGTACGAATGCTCTATTCATTTCTTCCTTAATTCTTTTTTTCGCTCAAATTTCTTTATATACCCATAAATGGACCTACTCCTACTTATCCAACTTAGTTTAGTAATAGAAAATGTTTTAGTTTAAAGCATTTAAGGTTTTCACAGTCTCGACCCGAAAAAAAGTTTCGGAGATACAGCCATGCGAAGTTGTGTGCTCAAAATCAGGTAGGCTCAGCGCTTTAAACTTTAAACTCATTTTTCTCGAAACTGTCTTTTCAAAGTCGGTTGTCTAAAGTTCTCGAAAATGACTCAATCCAACTTTGATGAAGTTTTACAAAGGGCCAATTCACGAGAAGCTGGACGAAGGATTTTATATTTTTAATCACTAGTCTTTAAAAGAAGATCAAAAAAAAATGGTCAAATGTATATTTCTAACACATTAAAAAGTTTGAATAAAAAAATTTATATTTGTATGAAATCTTAAATAGACAATTTTCGACCCGAATAAAGCGATGTAGTCTCATGAGACAAATCATCTATGCGTTTGTTTAGCATTAGCAGAATTTCTTGCTTAAACGTTTGAATTGAAAATCCCAAATGAAGGTTTCGGACTGCTTGCGATCTAGATGTTCTGCCTCCTATGTATGGCGGCCGAAATAGCCGAGATTTCTAATCAATTGCGATCGCCCCTCATTCCTATTTTTTGCCATTATCTTTCCGAGCATCTCGGGTGTTATAGCGTCGATTTCAGCACTAATATTTGCCTTAAACTCATCAATGGTTTGAGGCTCGTTGGCGTAAACCTTGCTTTTCAGATAACCCCACAAAAAGAAGCATTCCGGCGGTTTAAATCAGGTGATCTGTCAGATGGTGCCTTTTTGATGCGATATTTTTTCCGAGATGCACGTTGAGTGAATAACACAATTCAACGACTGTTTTCGATGTAAAGTGCCACTATTTCATCGCGTTGTTTCGGTGTGAAGCGATCCATGTATTGAATTGACGTTTCCAAAACATATCTGATGTAATCGCTCGTTTGGCAAATGTGAAAGTTATTCAGCGATTACATACTTTACTTTACTGGCGTAGATGCCACTTACGCGATTTTAGCATACCGACATAGAAGATGGAGCACCCTTGTACTGAGCCTTGATGATTTTTCTCCACGTGATGTCGTATTTTCTTTAACCTTCTAGTTTTCGTGTACGTTCCTATAGAGGAGGAGTTTAAGCCAGTCGCAACTATTACAGTAGTTAGAGAAGAGATTTGTATTGTGGTATTCGCGCTTCTTCCTAGTGCCAACTCATTGGTATTCGGAAATATTCAAAATTCTGTATTTTAACACCTACTTTAACTACAATACTTATGGAGTTCTTACCGATGTAGTACATTGATATTATTCGCGGTCGCAATAAACGAGTGGTTAACATTGCGTACTGCCATTCGGAAGGCCAGAATTCGAATCCTGGTTAGACCAACATCCAAAATTATAAAAATTGTTTTTTTTTTTCCTAATTGCGGTCGCCACTCGGCAGGCAATGTCGAGCCCTTCGAGTGTGGTTCTGACATTGAAACGAAAAAGTTCCTCACAAAAATCCAGCAGCCGTTTAAAGGCGCCTTAGAGTAAAGACTGGAGGATTAGCTCGGCTAAAAATCGCTCCAGCGCTTATAAAGGTCCATTTATATACGATATACAATATATATATTTTTTTTTTTATTGACGCTTGTGGTTTTGGGTTTTGCTGTTTTTTCAACAAATGGAGGGATCTACAGTTTATACTAAGCCGCCTTCGAACGACTGATGGTATTTTACGAGGAGCATTTATTTCGTGTCCGAAATACCCCCGGAGAGGTGTGAGAAGAGCGGGAATTTCTTTATATTTAGTTAGTTGGCTTTGCGTTTTAATTTGTTTTTAATCTCCCGCAATACTTTATCCACCGGAGGCTTCAACAAATTCCCGCCAAAATTTGCTTTCGTTAATTGCCATGCCAGCCATGCCAACCTTTCACTTCACAATTTAATCAAGAATGATTTCGGTCTGCATACCACATTATACACGGTCATACCTGTCGCAACAATCAGTAGAAGAATTTGAAGATTTAAATTTTGTTCATACCCGAATCCCGAATACAGACCTAGAATTTGGTATAGATACCCGCCTATACACGATGCGACGGTATGCAATAATTGACAGGTGACACAGACATGTCTGCAAGTCTATAAGCCGCTTAAGAATTAGCCAACAACGAAATGCCAGATATGCGAAAGCGGCTCAGTAGAAATTGGTAACAATTGGTACTGCCCATCAGCTCACCGAACAGGGCTGTTATTTGTGCCAAAAAAAAAAGCCTTAAACATTTGTCTCGCTTAAGATACGAAATAATTGTACTTTTCTCAGTAATTATGCACAAATATTGTTGTCATTAATATTCTGGCGGAATACTAACATACATATATACATATGTATGCATGTATTTATATGTATGTGCATATTTATATAGGCATAATCGCAAAACTACGGTATGGACAATTGACAACAAGCAACCGTTTCCTCCACAGCTCATCTCGCGTGATAATTTATTTTAATTTTAGTAGTAATTTTGTTGTTGCGATTATATTTACGTCACAAAAACAATACACAAAAACAAAACATAGAAACAAAACACAAAAACAAACAGTGGTAGCGGTTGAAAGGTGTGCAAAGATTAACTGATAGGCAAAACAGAGATAATCCACTTAATCACGTGAAGCAGACAATTAAACGAATAACAAATATTTGACATCTGAATAGAGATGAAATGGCAAATTGTTCATAATCATAGTTCCTAATGTGCGTGCATTGCTGTTTGTTTGTTTATATATATGTATATTTATATGTACATATGTAATTTTAATGGAATGATAAGGAAAGTGATAACCCTTTTTGAATGAGCACAATTATTTGTTATGGCATTTATTTTTCTAATTATAAAAATATATACATACATACATACACGTATATATATATATGTACGTATGTATGTATGTTTGAGAAAAAGGTTGTGAAATTTGACTACGTGTTGCTAAAAATATTTACAAATGCATTAAACTCATTTCTGAGAACTTTTTTTATGTATCCTAATAAGTGATAATGACTCTACGGCACCGTTATTTAATTAAACTAGGCAAAGGGCAATTTCTGTGCATAATTAAATATAAATTTAATTCAAGTAGGCGAGTCGAGAACACTAAAAGGTTGAGCACAAATCTTAGGCTCATAAATATGAGAATTATGATTGATTATCTTTGATTTTTTGTGGTAGCCGCTTGCATTTAAAGTACCTCTGGACATGATCATGGCATGGACTCCAGAAGTTCGGCACATAACTCCTTCGGAATGTTATATCAGGCTTATGGGATTTTTTTCCACACCCGGTTCTTATTTCTAAACATTTCTTATCTTCTAAAGACCGCTTTAGGAAGCCCCAAAAATGCTCTATTGGGTTAAGATCCAGCGACTGTGAGGGCCACTCCATAACTGATACGTGTTCGCTATTGAACCAATTCCTGACCGAATGAGAGAGTAGCGCTTGAGATCATTATCGTGCATTATCTCCTTAGAACAATGATGAAACCATACGATCTACAGCTAGCTCCTATTGTCTTATCAGAAAGAAGTCAGAAATTCTATTACTTTAGGCATGTTTCTCTTTTTAAGGTCGAGATGCAGCTACGATTGCAAGGTATGCGCAATACCAACTCTTGCGCCCTAGTCGCTAAGGTCACGGCTGAATGAAAGAGAGCTTTAGCGGAGTTACTCGATATGTCATTCGAGTAGTTTTGTAGCGTCAGTTCACCAGAGGTGCGAATGACGAGTAGGTTGTTGTCAAATGCACTACATCGACTATATAAAGAAAGACTAATTTGGACACAGGAGAAGAGAAGAAGCCGAATTGTGATTGCCAATTTTAACTCCATGGTACAGGGGTTGTTTCTATGTCGCTATGCCTGTTAAAGCTGACTTCATTGAGTTCTATCAGCTTTGAAAACAAACTTTCCTACCAGAATTGGTAAGGACCGCTTCGAGTCGTTCGATACTACAAGAGGTTTCAGACAAGGTGACTCTTCTTTTACTTAATGCTGTCATTGAATAAGAAGAAGATTTATTTGTATAATATAATGCTTGCAGAAAAGTGGCAAGACAAAGGACATATGTTGAGTAGGAGCAAATTCTGGGGTTTCGCGAATAATTCGTGGATTTCCATTGAACAACTTTTTTAACTGACCTTAAGCATACTGTTACTTTTGTAGCTAACTTGGAATGTTGTGGGGGGTAGCCTGCATCAGCCAATCCCGAACTTCCAAGCATCCGTCAGTCGCGAAACTACAGGAGCTCTTACATATTTTGAGTCCCTGCGAACTTTCAAGGCGAATTTGCCTTGCGAACTTACTTTAATTCAAAAACCAAACGCACTCACAACATATCAAAAGAACGTTTTTATTATTTTCCAAATGCCATTACTCCTTGCAGGTCCGCGGCGCACCAGCAATTGCCATTGTGGGTTGCCTATCATTGGCGGTGGAATTATTGCCCGAAGATTTTGATTCAAAAAAATCTTTACGCCAAGAAATTGAAGGCAAATTAAATTATCTTGTATCGGCGCGTCCAACAGCTGTGAATATGAAGATTGCCGCCGATGAATTAATTGCCTTAGCCAATGAGCTGACCAAAGATGAGGCTGTGAATGTGCTGGAAATGAAGCAAAGGTAAGAGCGATGAGAAATAAATATATAAAAATCCAGAATTTTATTAATAAATTTTTTTTTTCAATTTTTTTTTTGTGTTAGATTTTTGCATGCCACAGAAGCGATGCTACAAAAAGACATTGCCGATAATAAAGCTATTGGTAAAAATGGTGCTGAAGCCATATTGAATACATGCGCCAAAGATACCGCAATACGTGTGTTGACACATTGTAATACCGGCTCCCTGGCGACTGCTGGTTATGGCACTGCCTTAGGTGTAGTGCGGAAATTGCATGAACTTAAAAAATTGGGTGAGTTGAAAGAAATGCACTTTGTAAAACATTTAATTAAGTCACGTGGCCCAAGCGGTGCGAGTTACACACTCTTCATGATATTATGGCAAGGAGTTATATTGCTCTAAAGCGATTGAAAGGATTGAATCTTTTATTTTTGTTTAAACAAGTAAAAGACCAAATATATCATCTGATTTGTGGTTTTAAATTTTTTTTACAAAGAAAGAAAGACCTAAAGTTTTATTATAAGCCGCTTCCGAATGACTGATAGATATTTATGTGAAGCTTTTTAATTATATATCAGGATTACTCACGCCGAGAAACAACAGAATTTAGAAACATTAAATTAAAATTATTTATCTGTATTTTTGGATGTTAGTCCGGTTAATGTTTGAACCCATGACCTGCACCCGCCTGACATGTAAGCAATAATATTACTAAAGACTTCCTGTGGAATAATTAACCAGGCCTCTTTAGCAGCTTTCAATAGTTTCTTTTTTGCTCTCGACTTGCACCTTCTCTGTCTATCCTACTATTAAGTATCTCCCATGGCTTCTCTATTGGATTGAAAAGCGATGATTGTGCTGACCACTTAAGGATATTAATATTTTCAACTGCGGTCCGAATTGTTTCAAGGTGAGTTTTGGCTCGAAATCGTGTTGAGAGGATAACGAAAGTGGCATATTCCACTTTTAGGCTTTCAAGAATGTCCTTATATATAAACGATAATGCCATTTGTCAAAGTTGAGATCCAACACCAAGCCATTAACTCATCCCCCGTACTCTAATATTTCTTCCGCGATGATTTTACCGTAACTTTACAGTATCGAGGATCTAAGCGCTAGATGTTTTCTCGGCAACTCTGCTCATTCCATCTGGATATTTCAAATTCAATTTTAAGGCATAAGAAATAAAGGCTGACCATTTGAGCTAACTGAAAACGGTTAAGCCGAAATTTTCTGGAGCTAATGAATTTTACTGCTTTATAACGCTAGTCTAAATGCTCGTGCATGTCATTCAAGTTAAGGGCCTTAACTCTACTTGACGTCAACTGTTTTGCATTATTCTTTAATTCAATAAGAACCTCCGTGTACTCGAACTGTGTTGTAGCTTTCAGGTTTATCTTCGGCAGACTTATAAGAAAAACATCTTACGTGCTGCAACGCCATAAAGCTAAATGTTATGTAACTTAACCATGAAGGAACCGCATCGGCCACGCCCAACTACTAAACTCGACATCATTCTTGGAATAGATGTACCACACCAATTCCGTCTTCTGTTTCCACAACACGTTTTCAACAAAAAGTTCTGGATCATAGATTCGTAGCCATCTTCTCCGCCGGCTCTAAGCTAAATGGCTAAGTAGGTCGTGGAGCTCACTCTGAAACTTATAAAATTAAGCAAAAGACTTCCCGCCCACTGCAGCGTTTTTCAAGTGGAGCTAACGGTTTTTCGTTTCTAATACGTTTACCCAACCTATTACAACATTTTCTAACAGCCAGCTGCCAGCTGCCATTAAGTCTCTTCAATCCAATCATACCACTTCAAGGTGACAATAAAATGCAGAGAAATCTTAAACAAACTCTTGACTGTATGCGAAACGTTCGTGGTTTGGGTGCCTGGTCATAGCGACGTAGAAGGGAACTTCGTAGCCCACTAACTGTCCAGAAAAATAACAGACATAACCACGGTAAATTCTGTAAATTACTGCAAAGTATCTGCTAAGGCTAGGCTTCACCAGAAGGCCCAATAGCAGATTACGAGCGAAACCTCATGCAATATGCCAAGACAAATCTGCAAACAACCGGCGCGATCCGAGTGATTGCATTGTGTTCAGCCATTCGGAAGGCCAGTGTTCAAATCCTGGTACGACCAACATCGGAAAGTTGTAGAAAATTAAGTTAAATTTTCTGATTGCGGTCGCTCTCGGCTCCATTTGTTGGAAAAATATTATGACGCAAAACCACAAATTGAAGGAGGAGCACGGCCGAAAATCGCTTTGGCGATTACAAAGCGTCAATTACAAAATTACAAAGTTCAATGACCCCGCTGGACTATAAACAGTTAAACGTTAAGAATGGAGAAGCTTTTACACAAAACATCTTGAGTTTTCCGAACCTCAGATGCCACTGTTTTGCTTATTAACGTAGCCATTGAGGTGGAGGTGGAAATGGGTTTCCGCAGTCAAGATATTTTTTCAAAAAAATTTGTTAGTGGATTTGAAGTAAAAGAACGTATGGAAAAATTTTTAAGTTGGCATAGCTCAAAGAATCGCATTCACTTATATTTTGCAATTTATAACCATCTGAAATAAGCTTAACGCTGTACATTGCAAGTGCTTTGAAATTTTATGTCATCATCATCATCAAAAACTTAAATTGCTGCACACCAGTGTACATATGTATTTATAATCTCCTTCACAATTCGCCCTTACTCTCCATAGAGCACGTCTACTGCACGGAGACACGTCCATATAATCAAGGCGCGCGCCTAACCGCCTACGAGCTGGTGCATGATAAACTTCCGGCCACACTAGTGTTGGACAGTATGGTTGCGGCGTTGATGCGTGCCAAAAATATTGCTGCCGTCGTCGTTGGCGCTGATCGGGTGAGTTGAAGCATTACATGCTGTATGCATATTGTACCATAATGCATCGCCACGAGAGTGTGGGCGCTTTAAATGCTAATTGCACATTAAATCAAATATTTCCTACATCATTTACGTACTTGCATTCGTATGTGACAGGTGGCGGCCAACGGTGATACGGCCAACAAAATTGGTACTTATCAAATAGCCGTTGTGGCCAAACATCACGGTGTGCCTTTCTTCGTTGCAGCGCCGTTGACATCGATTGATTTGCAAATACCCAGTGGCGATCATATAATCATTGAGGAGCGGCCCGATCGCGAGATGACACATGTGGGTGAACATAGAATAGCGGCGCCAGGTAGATATTTCTGTGTTGCACTTTACATACATACACACATACATACATACATATGTACTATATACATTGTAAATGAAATATGTAATTGCAGGCATCAACTGTTGGAATCCCGCTTTCGATGTCACGCCAGCTGCGCTCATTTCGGGCATCATAACAGAGCGTGGTGTTTTCAGTCCACAAAAGCTGAAGGCTGAGATTAGCGCATTGGTAGAGCAGTGAATTTATAACGGGGGAAAAGGAGCTAAAATTAAACTTAATATGATAACAATCTACGATACTTACATATAAATACGAAATGTGGCCTTTGTTGTGTGAAGGTGTCCGCTTGCTGTTAAGCTTCCAATTTTGTGCGTGCATAAAAATATTCTTTTTTAATGCTCTGATTTGATTTTATAACAAATACATACATACAAATATATATATATTTTTTTTTGTAAATGCTATGGCTTTTGTCAAATGAATTTCTTAGCTTTAAGTTGTGATATTTGTGGTGGTGTAGCACAAGGTCCGGCTAATTGATACTCCACAAAAAAGAAAAAAAAATAATTAAATAAAATAAAACAAAACTATAAAAGACGGTAAAACCTTTTGAGTTGCAGTTTTTATGTTTATAGTTGGGTGGAAAACAATTAATTTCGAAGTATGTATGTAAGTAAGTACTAGGCGGAGAAGTGCTGTACCCATCAAAAAATTTATATAGACACTTGAACCGACCAGAACGGACCACTTTAGCATACACACGTTCGATTTTTCAGATTTGAGATTTGGATCATAAATTTGTCAAAAAAGCACATTGGAACTGAAAGTTAAATGGGACGACTTTAATATATACGAGGCGATTAACTAAAATTCTTTAAGTTGAAAAGAAAAAAATTCTTTTTGTATTTATTCGTAATCTTTATCCGTTTTGATCTTCACTTCTGCAAGTCTTCAAAATCTTGTTTTTTAAGCTAATCAAGTTCAACATTAATCGTGTTAATTATCTCCTCGTTGCTATTAAAGGCCTTTCCTTTTAGTTTTTTTTTTTTTTAATTTTTAGAAATAACCTAAAATCACGAGGTGCTATAGCCGGGGAATACGGTGCTGGATGTATGTCTTAGATCCCAGAGATCGCAATAAAATTACTCGTAATTTCAGCAGTGAGGGATGGCGCGTTGTTATGATGTAAAAAGTAGCGCCGAAAATCCTCTTTCTTCCTGTTTTCCAATAAATTTTTGAAAACTTTTGGTAAGCACTCTTCGGTGTACCAATTTGCAGTTACCGTCTGACCCTCTTCCAGTGGAATAGCAGCTACGGATGAAGTAAACTCACATCATTACTTTTGCTGCTGATATTTGGTGTTTATATTTTATGGGTGAGTTTGCTCCTGTTGGGCTTCGTCATGGCCTGCCGCTTGATTTCTGGATCGTACTTATAGAACTAAGATTCGTCACCGGTAGCGACTTTACTAAAGTTGCTAGACTGACCACTTTCGAATTTGTTTAGGAAAAATTAAGCAATAAAAATTAAGCGTCATTTAAAATTCGTGGTATCCATCGAGTAGATTTTTTCGTGTATCCTAGATAATTACATAATATTCGCGATACAGTCATGGCATTCAAGCCAAATTCATTAGCAATCATTTCTTATGTCATTTGTGGGTATTTGTCAATTTTGGAGTGACGTCATTCCCTCCTCTACGGAAAAGTGTCCGGTCTGGAATCTTCGGAACCACATGGAAATGGTCTTTAAAGACGTTGCAATCGTTCCATATGCAATTTGGCATTCACTGAATATTTGTATTGGCTGTAAATTACGACGAAACCCGAAGAGAATCACCTGACGAATTTCTGTTTGCGTTGGTGTTGTAATTTCGTCTGACCTATCCTCAGCTATCTTGAATTTTCTCGTTTCCATTTTAGCCGATCGTTCTAAAATTTGTAGGGAAGAATTGATAAAGTAATTGCAAAGGATTTTGTATTTTTAGATTTAACACAAAAAGATTGAAAGGCACCAACTGATCGAACTTTTGTTAACACCCTCGTATAGCTTGTGGCTCGCATACTCGTACACCAATATTTTCAGAAGCTCCGTCGAAAAACATTTTAACTAATTAACTTCGCAATAGGAGGACAACATACGAGTACATCATATGGTTCCCAACAAACCAATTTTTCAGATGTGAGATTTAATATTTAATCTTAAAACGAAATACCACAAACTTGATATGGTCATGAAAGTTATAAGGACCTCGGCATTGCCTACGCCGATTTACAAGAAAAATGGTGTAATTATTATTCTGCTTCGTTATTGAGGTGAAACACTCGAAAATACTTGAAAAATAAACTTTCATACCAATATGAGGGTTTCGTCGGTAGTAAGACGTTGAACTGTCAATTATATTTACAGGAGATGTACAAGCAGAAAAAACTTTCCCTCCAGGGTCTCTGGTCGTTGGTACATCGAACAAAACTGTACAACGGAAGAACATGATATGGAAAGTACGACCTTTATCTGCGAACAGGCCGCATTAACGTTGATTCACACAATGCCCCGGTGGAGATAGGAGGTGTGAGAGAACGACTGGGCAGAGCTGGTAAGAGCTCTTATACGTCAAAACTTGGGCGCGGGAAGTGGTCGGCAAATGTGTGCAGCTGTAGGATTCGAAATTGATGTATATTGTTTCTCCACATTAGCCCTGGAGCAATCTGAAAAAGAAGTTTGTTAAATATACACTAAAGCGTAAAAGGCCTTAGCTCTATTTCGCACCCGAATATATTTTTCATAATCATGTGAGGATGTGTGAGCTGTTGAATAGACTGGCCCGCATCATCTAAATCGTCTACTTAGTCGGACCACACCAACTTTCATCGAACTGCTTCTACGCCACTGTATCAGAGTTTTATATTCCTGCAAAACAGGCGTATAAGTGCAAACTGAAGTTCCGAGTGGTACGATAAAAAACGAGGATTCAGACAGAGTGATTCCTCATCGTATGACTTCTTTAATTTATTGATAAAAAAAGTATTATGAGCTGCAGAGCGGAGTAGAGAAGGTACAATCTTTTATAAGAGTCACAGACAGCTGCCGGCGTACACCGATGACATGGACATTATTGGCTTCAACAACCGCGCCGTGAGTACTGCCTTCTCCAGACTTGACCAAGAAGCGAAGCGAAGCGAATGGGTCTGGTAGTGAACGAAGACAAGATGAAATATCGAGGACAACATGAAATATCTCTTTTCACTGTTGACAGTCATACCTTCGAAATCATCGATACTTTCGCCTATCTACGGACCAACAGTAACACCAATAATAATGCCTTGAAATTCAACACAGAGTTACTCCTGCCAACAGCGTCTGATGAGCCGGCCTTGGGAGTATTCGAAAGAAAAGTTTTGGTCCTTTGCGCGTTGGCAACGGCGTATACCTCAGCAAATGGAACGATGACCTGTACGAGTTAAACGGTGACATTGATATTGTTCAGCGAATGAAGAAACAGCGGTTACGCTGGCTTGGCCATGACCTTCAGTTTTGAAAGTGTTCGATGCAGTACCCGCTTGTGGCTCAGTTCTGTTGGAAGGATCAGGATCCAACTGGCGCCAAACAGCGAAGAGAAGAAACGAGTGTTACGCTATGGTTGATTCAGCTACAATGGCGTGAGCAGTTCCTACACCAATAAAGATGAAGAAAAGAAAATTCGTTCCAAATCCCGGTTTTCTCGTCTATCTAGTTACTGGCCGTCCTATGGCGGAACACAGGGTAGATTCAATGATTTTCTATATGGCGGAGATCGACACATGACTAATTAGTTAAAAGACAATACTTTATTGCAGTTAAAATATTTATTTCATTCCATTATACAGCGTAATGCCACTCTTTAGAAGACAATGTTATTCAGCGTGACCCACATAAAAATGACTATTGTATGGATTCAAAGCGTCATACGAAACACCTTTAATACTCAAGTCATTCACCCGCCATAGCAGTAAGTTGTTGTCAGTTGCCGAGATTGCTGAAAGACAGAGCAAGCAAAATGCAAGATACCACTTTATTTACACAGCTCCTAACCACGTTCGTCATCGTACTTTTGCTACGAAATAACGAGAATGCCGAAGGTAGTTTGGCTTGTTTAGTTTTCTTTCTTATGCAAAGTAAATATTTTGTAATACCACACAGCACTCGATCGGAAATACCAAAATATGCTCGTGAGAATAATCTCTAATAATCCCATAAGAAATCCACGCGAGGGACGTGTTGAGGTGAGTTTCAATCGCGGCGCCAAATGGGGTACACTCTGCAGTTCATCTTGGAGTTTCCGTGAAGGTAATGTTGTGTGTCGACAGCTGGGGCTCGGTTTCGCTGCGATGGTCAATCAAACAACCACTTTCGGTGATAGTAAATCATACCCATGGGCAATGATCGGCACACTCTGTCGTGGTAATGAGAAACGTTTGTCAGATTGCATACGGGAGAGCACATATCCGCGAAATTGTACGGTGGGCAATAAAAATGTAGCTGTCGTGCGTTGTGTGCCACAAAGCGCCGATCTCACACTGGGTTTACGTGATATCGAAACGTCTGCGCGACTTGATTTGGCGCCCATGACACGACTCACATGTGCCATGGAGGAGAATTGTGTCTCGGCGGAGGCCTACATCATACGACGTACACAACCGAGTGCCATTCGTAATCTGCTGCGTTTTACGACGAAAGCGGAAAATGTTGGCGATGCGGATTTCAGTCCTTATGCGAACTATAAAGACTGGGAGTGGCATCAGTGTCATCAACATTATCACAGCATGAATGTATTCGCAACTTTTGATGTTTATGACTTCAGCTACAGGAAGGTGGCGCAAGGACATAAGGCCTCCTTCTGTCTGATGGATACGAATTGTGTGCCGGGAGTTAGGCCGAAGTACACATGCGGTAACGAGACGCAAGGTGAGTAGCGAAGTTGTGAAATTTTCTCTTGAGCTTCGTTAATTCGCTCTATTACATATTTTAGGTATTTCCATTGGTTGCGCGGACCTGTACACAGCCAATTTGGACTGCCAATGGGTAGACGTTACCGGTTTGCCAGTTAATCAATATTACATTCTGCGAGTTGCCATTAATCCTGAGTATAAAATTGGTGAACGCAACTTTGAAAATAATGGCGCCGAGTGTATCATACATTACACCGGCAAACCGGCTACAACACGCATTACGAATTGCCGACGTACGCCGTTGTCGTTTAATGTATAACATTTGTCTGTATAAAATATGAGAAATATTGAATTGTCTTTTTCTTTCTGGCAAAATAATGAGTGGTGAATCGGGGGAATCCATATTTGATCGAAATAACAAATATATGGTTGTATGAATAAATATTCTGCACAGACTGCTGGAAGAAGTCGCAAGTGTAATCTAGAATACCGACCTAGAATACCAAGTGAAGCCAGGCCACTCTCCACCCGATCCTTCCGACGAAGTGGAGTTCTTCCTCTCACTCTGCTTCCAACACCGGGTGCTGCAACGAATACTTTCAAAACTCGAGTGTTTTCGTCCATTCGGACGACATGACCTGGCCAGCGTAGCCGTTGCCTCTTCATTCGCTGAACTATGCCAATATAATCGTATAGCTTTTACAGCCCATCGTTCCATGGTCTATGGTATTCGCCGTTGCCAATGAGCAAAGCACCATAAATCGTTCGTAAAACTTTTCTCTCGACAATTTACGGGTGGAATAAACTCCGTCCTCTGTTTGGTCGGAGAGATCTATAAATATTATAAGGGGTTTGTAGAGCATCAAAGCTAAATTTGGTTGGTCAGGCGTGGGGAAGCCATTTAGAAAGCATAGCTCTACATGCCTGAACATATTCACCACACCAATGGGCACTGTCCATCACTGGATGGGCTAAGTGTATCTAGGCCGACATTAAAAACACATTGTAGACCAGGGCAATCGAAACTAAGCTGTTGCCAGCCAGAGAAAAGCACAAAGTGCATTACATCGATGTAAAGTATCTATTTAATAATGCTCCCAATTGAGAAATAAGCATTCCACATAAAATATCCGTTGAGACGCTAATACGGGAATTCACATAACAAACGACTGCTGATTTGCACGTTAAAGACTAAAGAGGTTCACAGGAAAACTATGATCACTCTGGCACACTCTTTCACAAGCCGCGCATGGATGAGTTGGGAGAAAAGTTGTTGTTATTGCAGGGGTTCGCAATGCTTAGTTCGGGAGCAAGTAAAGCAGCTTTATGCCATCGAGATCATAAAACGGAAGACCCAGTAAACAGTTTTTTCGATAAGTTCCAACCAAGGAAAGGGTTGTGGTTCAATCGGAGTTTAATACCATGTGGAAGCTCATGCATTCGGGATACATGTATGTGCGTTGGGTACGTCTGGGTAGAGTCTGCATAATATATACGAGTATTTAAGCTTAGCCAGAATATCTAGACCTTTATGGCGCTAGATTTTTCTTATGTAAATGAGCCTCTTCGTCTGTAATAGGAGTGTATTGTGCAACCTAACGTCTTTCAAAGTTATTTTTGTGCCTTGGCGGCTCGTCTAAACTTTCGTCGTATGCCGAACGAAGATTATCGAGCTCCATAAGATTGGAATGATAGATGAAAAGCTGTATATAATTAATCTGACCACCTGCATAGCAATAGGAAGTGCTCACCACTCGCCCCAAGAGACGTTTTTCTAGAGAATAAAATATATACTTTTTCGACAAATAAGTGCTTTATAACTCAACCTAGTTTCCTTTTGGTTCTATATATATAGTCCAGCATTTTTGTAATGTTCTTATTCTTTTAAATAGGGGGTTTCAAGATCCTCAAGGTGGGCGTTTGCCTCTGCTATGATCTCTTCAGCTTATCGCGTAGCAGATAAGGAAACAAGAAATCGTCATAGGGAGCCTTAACTAGAGAATATGCTGGATGGAACAGCAGTTCGTAGAACAATTTATGAATTTTTCCCAATGGTGACTACACACGTATACACTCCTGAAACAGAATCTTTTTTCTTCAAATGCGGTGGTGTCAGCTTCAAATCAAGATCGAATCTGGGCAAAGGCTCTGAGTAATATTCGCTGATGATGGTTTTACCCCTTTCAAAGTAATCGATGTAAAAGACACCTTGTGCATACCAAAAAACTGTGGCCGAACTTGGCCTCCTTTGGCGCACTTTTACTCGGATGGTTTTGATTGCTCTTTGTTCTGAGGTGAGATGTGGTGTATCCATTTTTTTTACGGTATCATAGTACGCAAATTTGCTTGGAACAGAAGGAGGAGTGTCCATTATGGATGAGATTCCAATTAAATTAATTTTAAGACAATTAAACTAAGGAAATGTTCAATTTATCCGCCTTGATAGATATTAAATCCTTTATGTTCATGTTTGTTTCATAGGATCTCCTAAGCTCCGCAAGCTGTAAGAGTTTAAGGAGGCACGTGAAAGCGTGGAAGACGAGGCGTGGAGCGGCAGACCAGTCTAGGTGCGGAAAGAGTTTCATTCACCGGTGCAAACAGAGTGCGCACAGACATCGCTCGTAACTGATCCTTCATCACGACAATGCGCCGTGCCACACCTCTCTCAGCGTGTCCCATTATTTGACCTCTCAAGGGAGAGCCGTCTTGCAAAAACCGCCGTATTCGTTCGATATGTCGTCCCGTGACTTTTTTTTTATTCACTAGAACAATATCGGTGATCAAAGGAAGCTGTTTTGAGTCGATTGAGGACATACAGGTGGGCGTAACGAGGGTACCCGCGGACGTTCCACCATGGAAAACGCGCTGGTATCGTTGTATAGCTGCCCAAGGGGACTACTTTGAATGGGATGGCAGAGTTGTAGAATAATTTTGAAATTTACGGTTTCTATGGAATCAGTCTTATTACTTAAATGTCACACCTCGCATAATTAATAACTGTAGTTTAGAGCAAGTTTTCAACTTTGCTGATTTGGGGGTTATGATGGCCCATAAGTTCTTCTTCCATCTTCATATCAATACCACAGTCTTAAAAGATAAAAATGCTTTTGGCCTTGTCAAAAGATGGTCAAAGGAATTCAAAGACCCTTTAGTAGCCAAAGCACTTTATACGACGGTGGTGAGGCCAATATTAGAATATGGTTCACTGTTCAAAAAACCTCTTATCTGAGGTAAAATTTATTGTTCCAACTCGTGTATCTATGCAGTTTCGGCCTTAATTATTAAAGTGATGTAAAATAAATTATGAACTGAATGGACCTTTTCCCCGATTGTGTCACAATTTTAATTTTCATTCCAGTACCCTCAATGTATCAGACGCACTTTTTAGCTTGAAAAAACTATTCTTCCGACTCTCAACAATTACATTTTAAAATTCCAAAAATGAAAAATTTCAGCTGTTGAATAAATATTTTTACCGCAGCTGAACAGTTTTCAACGTCGTCGCTTTACAAACGCCTCCTAGCTATGGCTCGGCATATTCCGTACCCTAGCGGATCAGTGGCTGATGTATGCCCACAATAACTTTACGAATTCCATTTTTGAGATATTGAATCGACGTTGGCCTGTTGGCGTGAAGTTGAAAAGAAGTAAACGTATTCGTGTTTTCTAGCTTTTATTATGGCGGATGCTTGCCTAGGACTGGAGGTGAGGTGAGTAGATTACCCCTTTGAGTGAATTTATACTATGTTGAAAATAATCGCTTACATGGGGCTAAATTTGCTGGAATAATATACTGGTATTTAATTTGACTTTTTATTTGTATATTTTTTAAATATTGGATGAGTGCATAAGTTCGTGCCCGAGTTGCTTAGTGAAAAGACGCATGGAAGATGGACAACGAAAAAGATCATATGCGTCATATTATGTTATACGAATTCCGCAAAGGAAAAACAGTAGGCGCTGCAACTAAAGATATTCGCGAAGTTTATTTGGACCGTGCTCCAGCACTCCGCACAGTAAAGAAATGGTTCGCGAAATTTCGTTCTGGAGATTTTAACCTCAAAGATCAACCTCGCAGTGGACGGCCTTCTGAGCTTGATGACGATGTTCTAAGGACTTTAGTTGCGAATAACTCATGTATTTCGACGGAAGAGGTTGCCAGTGAATTGAACGTCAACAAATCAACTGCGTTTCGTCGTTTAAAAAAGGTTGGGTACACTTTGAAGCTCGATACATGGGTGCCACATCAGTTGAGTGAAAAAAACAAAGTGGACCCTATGTCAACAGCAATTTCTTTGCTTCGACGGATCAAAAACGAACCTGTTTTGGATCGGCTCGTGACTGGTTATGAAAAATGGATCCTGTACAACAATGCTCAATGCAAAAGAACACGGAAACAGGCACACGAAAGGGGTGCATTTGGTGGGATATCCGAGGCGTGATCTATGTTGAGCTCTTGCCAGCTGGAGAAACGATCACTGCCAAGAAGTATTGTCAGCAATTGGTCGAATTGAAGAAAGCAATTGATGAAAAACGTCCGATTTTTGCCAATCGCAAAGGAGTTCTTTTCCATCATGACAACGCCGGGTCACATGTTGCAAAACCGACCCTGGCCAAACTGAAGGAGATGAATTGGGAAATCATGCCGCATCCCCCATATTCACCCGACATTGCACCTTCTGATTATCATTTGTTATTGTTTTTAAAATGTGGAAGACGTCAAAACCCACCTTGACACCTTTTTCAACGAGAAGCCGCGCGATTTCTATGAATCAGGCATCCGCAAATTGGTTGAACGCTGGGAGTGGATTGCCGAACATGATGGCGAATACATAATTGCACTTGAAATCGGGCACGAACTTATGCACTCATCCAAATTATGCTGAAAAATTATCTTCTTAAATATAAAAAATTTCTTTCTTGATGAAAAAATGTGTGCAACTTCTTTAATTGCCCTGTTTGATTCGATTTTTTATTTTTCAGAGCTTTTGATGAAGCCGCACACATGGCTTATTTATATATTATATAATCATTTGTCATCTTCCACAATAAAGAAAATAATAATAAAAAAAACTGACCACTGTTAAATATATAATATGTATTTTAAATTTTATTTTTTATAATTATTTTTTATTGTTTATTTCATACTAAATTCTTCGCTCATTTCACAATCTTGCTTATTCCAGGCTTTCTGTAATATTTTATTATACACATACTTTGTGTACACTTTTCAGCTTAATGCATTTATTGTTTATTCTTAGTATGTATTTGTTTTGCAAATTATTCAGCTTTTTTATTTCATTTTAAACACACATATGTATATATATTATGTATGAATGTAGGTGTAATTGTTCTTTCAATTGGAGTTTTGATAAATATTTAATTGTCTTATATTGATTCAATATAAGAATTGTGTGTGTGTGTGTGTTTTTTTTTTTTATAATTATGTAAGTGTGTAATGCGTGAAAATATTTAAATGACTGTATTTATGTACTTATATTATATTTATAAAGATCTTATTGTTGTAAGTGATGTGTTGTATGCGTTTTTTATGTATGTAAATTTGTTTTTCTTTACCTCTTATGGGAGTCTTTACTTGATATTTTCTCTTCGCACACATGTGACTGCGTATTCATGTTTAATTTAGTAGTTAAAATTTGTTTCTTTTACGATTCGGTCGAATATTTCTTTTTTATTTAGCATGTATTATTGTGATTTTAATAAAAATTGTTTTTCTTTGTTTTGGTTTTTTGTATTAATTTCAGCAGCTGTATTTCACATTTTTAAATGCATATATGTATGTATTGATTTATAAATATTTTTTGTTTATTTTGGTTTTTTACGGCAATTATGCAAGTAATTTCTGTTTGTTCACCTGCTCTTAAGCAACTATTTAAGTGAATAAATTTGTGTATACATATACATATGTATATACATACATATACGTATAAGTATTAGTATCTTCCAAGTGAAATAGTTTCGAAAAAACTTTGATTTCTCTTGGATAAATTTTGAAAAATATGTATTTTGTTAAAAAAAAAATTAGATATTGGCATTTTACTCCACTGAATACGCTTTCTTGTCAAAAGTTTTTTTTTTACAAAAATATATCTGAAACTGTATGTTTTTTTTCGTTCTCGAAAAAACATAATATAAAATAAAATAAAAAATACAACTTTCTATTAACTCATATAAAAATATTATCAAACATTATTTTTATTAACAGTTTTTTTAATCGTTTATTAACAATAGGAAATTTAAAATTAATAAATTTATATTACAAATATTTTTTTTAAACATACAAACATATAGGCGCATTTTTTCCTATTATAGTAAATGCATGAATTATATAAAATATATATATATATATTTTAAATTTATATTGAATACATATACAAAATGTAAATTAAGCAATAAAACAATAAAGAGTATAAAACAATTAAAAAAATGCAAAAACAAAAAAGAAAAATATTTTTAAATTATTTTTTTTTATCTTTCATGTTAACATGCTACGATCAGTATTGATAAAATAGAAATAAAACATATTGAATTTGCTCAAACTAAATAAAAAAAAAACTAAAAAGAAATAAAAACTTAAAATCCACAAAAAAAAAAAAAAATTAAATTAAAAAAAGAAATAAAAAAAGAAGCTAAAAAATAAGCAAAATTTGTTGTATTTTCACATAGAGACGTTTTCTTCAAATTCAATAACTTGCATTTCAATTCTATTTTATTTGAATTGGTTGTACTAGTATACAATATAAATACATATATACGTATAAATCTTTATTTTTTCTGATTAGACATTAAATATTGATATTTTATTCTTATTTTTGTGTTGTACATATGGACATATGTACATAAATACATTGCGCGCTTTGTGTGTGTTCAGTTCTTTTTTTTATTTTTTTGTTTTTTGTTTTTTTTGGGTGCAGCTATAAATAACGCTAGAATTGTTAAATTTTCTAATTAAATGTTTGGGTTCAACAATATACTTGGAGGTCTTCGCTCTTGCGAGGCGAGTTTTTAAACATTTAGACATTTTTCGGAATTGCTCCCGAGACCATATAACGCGCATTGCTACCCACTCGACTATTGTTGTTCGTTCTTTTGAAAGTGATATAAAGTTGGCAAATAAATATTTAGTAAGTCTTTGTTTTTGAGCTCATATATGTTTATATGTACATCTATTTTTCGTTACTTTTTGCTGTTGTAAAAAAATTATTGGCTAAAATATTTGATGAAGAATAAAAACATAATCTCAAAGTAGTTTAAGTGTCTCTTTATACTCATATTTTTCTGCATAAAAATCGAGCTCACACAATAGTAGGAATTTCATTGCGCTCAAAATTGCTTCGAAAAATATACAAATTAACACAAGAGCTGAAAAAGACCGTGTGTAACCAAGAGCTGACGCTGGTTTTATTGTCATCACTGCTTTAGTAGTTAGTACTGACCCTCAAAAGAAAGCTGTTCAAATTTCCTGCTATTCTACTCAAAAGTTTGTGAGATATTGTGCTGAGAGTGATATGGCTTGTTTTAATTTTAAATTATTGAATTAAGAACAATTTAGAGTTGAAATTTCACTCTGCTTCTGGGTGGGGAAAAGTGCAGGTCAAGCATAGCAATGGTTTGGAAAGCGTTGCAAAGCCACCCGAAGAGTAGGTACATCAAGAATTTCACCGCATTAAAGTACGCCTGTCGTTAGAGGCAGCTAGAATTCAAAAGTTCCCGCGATAGTCGGGAACGATGCTTTTGGGGAATATTTTTTCGGCTACAACAAAAACGTTGGCTAGCTGACTTCAAATCCAAATGAGACAGTCACACCAGAAAATATTCCAAATATCCATAAATTCGTTTGGAATGATAGTAAAGTGAAATTGAATGCGTTAGCTGTCCTCGTTAAGATATCAAAAGAACTTATCGACTTTATATTGCTTAAGCATTTGAGTGTGAGAGAATTCTCTACAAAGTGGGTGCCACATTTGATCTTCGCTTGATGTTTCTGAGCGATGTTTGTCGATGTTTAAATATAAAAATCTACAAGCTTTGACTCGATTTATGTGAAAATTGTTAAAATTACGGAATCAATGCGATTGGATGATAACAAGTGAATCACTTCTGAAGCGTCCGAAAGCAAAACAATCAGTTGGTAACAAACAACTCACCCTGTCACAAGTCCATTAATGAATTGGGCTTCCAACTGCATCCATATTCATTTTACTCGCCAGCTTTTTCCCTCAGCTGACCGCAAAAAATGCTCGCCGTTAAGGCATTTTTTTGCTCGAAGAATAAAAAGGTCATCGCTTATTTTATGACCAAAGATAAATCGGTCAACCAAAGTGGTTTCGAAAAAAAGGCGGCGCTAAAATGATTGTGCGGCTCTTCTTGAAGAATATATATGTATATGAAAATCGCTTTGCAACCGCTGAATGTTTATATTGAGGAATTAAGCCAATTTTGAACAAAAATATATGAGGTTTCCTTTGTTCGGCTCGGTTCTTTTCAGCTTATGTGTTAAATGTAAAAGTGTATTTCTCTATGTATATAAATATTTTAAAATCAAAACAGCAGTTTAACAGTTTTTTTATTTCATTTACAAATTTAACCCACGCAAAAAAAAAAAGATTAACACATAAATTATTTTTATATTTAGCAGTGATGTATTTTCGAACAAAAAATATGTTTTACATACTTTACTCACTTATATGTATATGAGTGTAATAAATGTTGGAACACATTTTCATCATTTACAAAATATTATGAAATTAATGTTTTACTGTAAATCTTTTGATGCCATATTGGATAGTATATGCTGTATTTACATTTATGTATATGTATGTATGTGTAGTTGTCTATTAGAAGGTTTTAAATGTTTTCTTTGTGAATTTGCAAAAAAAAATGTTGTACATAAAAAATTGATTAACTTAGAAAAAGTTTACAAATTAATACATTAAATGCAAATACAATTTCATTTTTAATGCTATTTTGCAATTTATTATATTTCCTTGCACATTAATTTGTTTTTTTTTTGTTTTTTTTTTTTTTGTTTTAATTCAATATCATGTCTATTGGTTTTGGATAAATTTCTTAAATGTATTTTAATTTTACTTTTGCTTTTGTTTGCTGCCACCTACGATTACCATTTAATTTCTTTATTTTTCAAATACAATGATGCATTTATTCTTGGTTTTTTAATGTAGTGTAAATACATATACATACATATGTAACTATGAGCTTATGGCTAATGTGTTCTATTTTAATTGTAATATAAATATTTTTAAGTATGCAATTGATTTTTTTTATATTTTGTCAAATTGTAAAAAAGGAAACATTTACAAAAAAACATTCATTAGTACTGTTTTTGTTTTTTTTTTTTTTTTTTCTTTCTTCTTTTGATAGTTACAATATGAGTTGAGTTTTAATATTATTATTAATTTTTTTTTTTTTTTGATATACTATATTTTTTGTTTTATTTTTTATATTTATAGACTTCATTTTAAATAATATTTCGCCATATTTGTATGTGCTTTTCTGCTTTTACACTACCTCATATTGGCATAGTCTTTTGGGTTATTAAAGTAATATGTATGTATGTATTTAAGCAATAGTAGTTACATATACAAATATTTATAACGCTAGTTGTAAAATACATATATAAACATATGTATGTGTACGCGTGTATGTGTTTTATTTTTTAACATTTTCTTTAAATATATCATATATTTAAAAATTATTATTTTTATTTATTTTTTACTTTAGCATAATACAAAAAATACAATCGAAATACATACATACCTACATATACATACGTAACTACAATTAGAGCTTCGAAATGATTATTTTTTCTCATATTTTTTTACTTCAAAATTTGTTAAATCTCTAATGCATAGTTTGTGTGTGTGTGTGTGCGTGTGTGAGTGTGTGCATTTGCAGCATTCACATTTATTTTTGTTGTTGTGCTATATGTTCTCTTACAAAATTATATTCCTAAATAATATTATAATCTTTACATGTGTTTGTTTGTGTGTTGTTTGCTTATTTGTTTGCATATACATATTCGCATAAAATATCTACTATATGTATACTCGTATGTATGTATGAATGCTTGCACTAACATCTTTAAAATACATATGGAGTAACATACATATTTGTGTTTGCTTTTATAATTGTTTGACGATGCTACAACTATATGTGTGTTTGTGTGTGTGTGGGTGTATGTATGTGTATGTGTTTGCACCAATTCATTAATTAGTTGTTGTTGCTATTGCATTATTTCATTTCGAAATTTAATGCGCCTGCGTGCACATCTAAAATTACATACATACATATAATAGTTCTACTTATTCATTTATATTTATAAATATATATACATATATGTATATGTATTTATATATATGTACGTGTATTCTATCAGCTTTCAACAGTTGTCGAGGAAACGCTGTGACTAGTGGTTAGTAAGTGTTCGGGAATGGGTATGGGCTGGGTACGCAGCGGTTGCTTCTTCTGTCAAGAAATAAATGTGAGACATTTTTGTTGTTGATATTTTTATTTGTATTTTAAGTAGAGCAAAAAAAAAACACTGTTAATCTCATTCCACCTACCTTTCTTCTAAATGGAAAACAGCCTGCTTTTTCCGGCTCCGGCACCGCATTGATCAACAAGTCGGGCGTTGGACTATCATCAATACCAAATACGTTCAGTTCGCGGAAGCATTCGGTTTCCATCATTTCATTTTGCCATGATATCGATACAGAGCCGGTATTGAATTTGCTATAGAAATTCGTATCGGAATCATCGATATTCACACCCTTCACTGTGGAGAATTGCTCAATGTCGAGCACGTCCTTAGCGTAGACGGCATGTGGCTGTTGATTAGAGAGGAGAAAAAAAAAGAAATTTATAACATTATTTATTTTTTCATATATTCATCAATGACCTTCCAAATGTGGTTCTTAAATCTAAGACAATCATGTACGCAGAGGATGTCAAGCTCTTTAAATCAGTTCATTCTATTCAGGATAGAGAACTTCTACAGCTTGGCCTAACTAATTTAGTTAGGAGGTAGTGAGATGCAAACCTTATGTCCCTAAATTTAAATAAGTGCAAATATATATTCCGCAGTTCGGACTGTCGTTGGTTTTCGGCCACCGGTCTGTTGGATTTTCGGTTATCCTACAGATGCGCCTCTCACTCAGTTGTCCCATCGCCAGGGCAACGCTGAGTTCGATAAAAATATATATACATATAGTATATACCTATGTACATATGTAATAATTGATGTCGTTTTCGATCTGCTTAGATTGGAAGAGATTGTCACTAGATGGTGTTGATACGCTTAATTCGGGCAACGCTAATCTGATTGTGTCAAACTAACATTTGTTTGAAAGCTAACACTTCAATGATTTTTTTCGCAAAGACAATTCTCTAACTCGATATTCGGGCGAAAAGGAACCTTAATTTGAAAATGAAGACAACACAAACAAAAATTTCTGCACTCTGATGTTTTGATATCAAAGATGTACCCCGTTCTGGTCGGCCTATCACGTAAAAAGCCAATACCATATCGCACCTGGTGGAGCAAGACCGGCCTGCAAGCTGCCAGGAGACAGCGAAGGTGGTTGTTTGGAATCGTTTAAAAAAAGCTGTGGCTACTCAAAGAAGATCTATGTGTAGATGCCACATGAATTAGTGCAAAAATATCAAATCATTTCTGAAGCCACTCAGTACGATCGTGGAACAATTAAACACGAGCATATGAAACGAAAAATTCATTGTCAAACGCCGGTAACCCTCCGTGAACGATTTCAAAGCCTGAATTGATTTCAAACAAGGCGATCCTGATGCGAGATTGGCAGAGAATTCTAATTAGAGCTACAACAACCTGACGAAACGCTCAACTCTAAGCTCTAGTCTCACAATTCACAAAAGATTTCAGAAATGACAATTTCTTATGAAAACACCAGACCATTACATCTTTGATTGCCAGACGAAAGTGCGCCGAGCTCTTATAACTCCGCGCTATGCACCATCTGATTACCTTCTTTTCGATTCCTGTATAACTCTTTCGATAGTAAAAAAAAATTGGTCGTTCAAGAAAAGGCTGAAAATCATTTGAACAAGTTCCTTGCCGATTGGCCGTTCTACACAAATGAAAATATGAGGTTACCCGAAAAATGGCAAATGGTCGTAACAATGGTCAGTCTCTACTTGATTAAAATTCAATTTTAATAAAGACAAATTTTGCTTAATATCATTAAATTTAATTCCCCTAACTGGTGGCTGCAATGGCAGTTAGCATTGCGTACTGCCGTTCTGAAGACTAGGGTTAAAAGCCTAGTTCAACCAAAATCCAAATAAAAGATAGTTAGTTTTTCTAATTGCGGACGTCTCTCTCGGTAGGGAATGTCAAGCTCTCCCAGTGTATTTTTGACTTGAAATCAAGGCTCCTCATGCAAAAAACCATCAGCCGTTCGGAGGCGGCTTGGTGTAAGCTGTAGGTCCCTCCATTTGTTGCGAAAACATCAAGACGCATACCACAAATTCGGGAAGAATCTCGACCGAAAATCGCTTAAGTGCTATGAGGCCTATATGATAAAGATTTCCGATTTCAGTGATTTTCGGTGACAATTTTTATTTGTATGTATGTATGTGTGTAGAATACCAAATTTAACGCATGCGTTTAACGATGCTTTTTTTTAGCGACAGACGGACAATGTCTAAATCAACAACTCGTCATTATGATCATATCGACATAAATTTTCTTCTGATACTTACAGACTTCGGAAAGGAGTTAAAAAAATGTGGTGACCAATAATCAAATCTAATTTAATTTTTTTTTAATTCTTGAAGCATGTCAAGATTTTCTTCTTTCCTTATATAACTTGATTAGTCTAAAAGGAAAAATATATAATTCATTACTTACATCTGGTACAAATGGTGGTTTCACCATGCCAGCCTCCAGCCGCTTCCAGTTGATGCAATTGAAAAATGGATGTAATTTCACTTCACGTGCGCCATAACGACCATTACGACAGCCGAGACGTACTTTTATCGATTTAGCAAGCAGCTGTTGACATAGAGACTTAGCCTCGTCACTAAATTTACTAGAATACTTTTCATTATCCTCCTAAAAAAGAAAGAAAAAAAATGAAATAATAAAAATATGAATACGAAAAATGTTTAGTACTAATATACGTATGAGATAAAAATTATACACAGAGCATAACAGTTTATGAGGATATTTTGAAAAATATTATTTGAAATCCTTTGGCTAGGCAACATGTCAGCTGGTTATATATATACATAGTACATACGGGAGAGAACTTTTATTTTTGCGGAATGGTAGACAACTGGTGGGTATTGAAAAACCAAATTATTTTTCCTTTCCAATGTATTCACCATTTCAGATCATTTTCAGATCTTTCCATTAATTTATTGAAACTCACATAAAAAATGATTTTTCTTTATCTTCAAAATACGCTTAACTTGCTTCTTGACTCATCGGTGATACATTTTTTTACCTCTCAGCTGTTTTTTCATTTTCGAAAACAAGTAAATAATCACTCCGTGCCAGATCTGACCTGTTGTAGTACGCGGCTCTTGTAGACGTGCGTGTTAATGACTTTTTTTAGTCTCCCTAATATTGAAGCGTTTCATTCCTCGGTTATAAGTAAACCTTCATCTTTTTAATCGATCAATAATATTCTTTTCGACTCCTAAAAAACCGTTGTCATGAGTTTCCCAGCTGACTGTGACATCCTAAACTACTTGAGAAGTGCTGTGCTCTTTTTATGTCACTGCATGGAGTCTTGTTTCGACTCAGGTTTTGTATTGATGAACCCAAGTTTCTTCTAAAGTAACAATTTGGCTCAATACACCACCCTTCTCTTTATTACTCAGATCCACACTCTATATTATGTTGTTTTTTCCTTGTTTAAATAAACGAGGAGACAAGATTCGCCGTCAACATATGATATATTATTTATTATGGTCGCAACTCATTTTCCTATATTCGACTATTTTCATATTTCTCCTATCTCACCCGACTGTGCTGCTTGGTTTAAGATAGCTCAAATACTAGTTTTCAAGTAACAATTAAACCTCAGTTTTATAATAATTATGAGTCATTGAACACATTTGGAATCTAATGATACTAATCACCGATTTTTCGACTGACTACTTTTATCAAAATTAAAAATAATCAAGATGCAAACAGCCCAGCTCATTGTCACATCTTGTTTCATCGGTTTGTGGATTTTGTACATTTTCTCTCGCAAGTGTTATTGCAATTAAATTATTTAATAAATTTATTAAATACCGCTACCAACTCACCTTCACACGCCGATCGACCTCTTCCCGTTTCACTTTCTCCTTACGCATACGGAATGGCGCCTGACCCTCAATCATTTCATATAATAAACAACCGAAACTAAACCAATCCGGTGAGAATGAGTATTTCTCATTGTCGATCACTTCGGGAGCCATATAGCCTGCAATTGCCAGTATTGAAATATGAATATGAAGAATATTATTATTTTTCTTAATAGCAAATATGAATTTTTGTGAAAAATCTGCTACTCACCAACTGTGCCGACACGACCGCGCACCATATCGCCTTCTGGTATTTCTACAGCTAAACCCAGATCTGATATCCGCACATGTCCATGATCATCCAATAGTATATTCTCTGGCTTACAATCTCTATACACAATACCCTGTTGGTGTAGATGTTCTAATCCGCATACAACTTCGGCAGCGTAGAAACGAGCGCGCACCATTTCAAAGCCCGGTTCGCCACCCATATTATAGATATGGAATTTTAAGTCACCACCTGTAAGGAGATTAATTGGATTTTTATTAGACAGATGCTAAGAAAATTGAAAGCGAAAAATAATAAAAAAATAAAATGTATAATATTTTTTATTTATTCCACCAAAAGAATGAAATTCAGGATCATTGAACTGTTTAGAATTGTCTTTAATAATAATAATCTGAAATTAAACACTTTTGGACAATTTCAATGAGTCGAAAAAGGATCTGAGAGCATGAAATTTGCATCAAAAAAGTAAAGATTGTCACCAGAAATCAAAGAAATAGTAAAACTTTATCATACACCCCCATACAACCGTGTGAGAATTATAAAAGGGTTTTCCAATTAGGGGTGTTATTTTGGTTAGATTGCTATTCCGGTAGATGACACTATAAAAGCTGTAAATTTTTGACATTTGATAAGTTAAAACTACACCAGTAGCATAAATGGACCGATAAAGAGTCCCGGGTCTTAAGACTTGCAAAGTCCAGTTGACACAAAAACTCAAGCCGGCCAATTATCAAAAACGTCGTGTCTGCTTATTGAGTCCTTGAAATGCATGAAAATTATCCCGTATTTGATAGAAAGATCATCTTGATTGATGAGGCCGACAATAAGCAAAGTTGTCGCAACTGGAACTCTGAAAACCTAAGATTTGTTGTTGAAAAGCCTCTCCATCCTTAGCATGTAACTGTTTGGTGCGGTTTATGATCCGACGGGGTCATTGAACCTCACTTTTTCGAAAACGAGGCTGGAGAAACAGTAAATTCAAGACCTCAAAGATGAAATTCGTGCAGCTATTGAGGGCTTACATCAGCCCCTTTGCCATTTGGTGATTTCAAAAAAAGCATACGGTCCGTAGCGGCAGTTTGGCTGATGTTGCTTTCCATTATTAATGGCATATCTTCCTTTTGGCTTTTGAAAAATGCCATTTGTACTTTAATATCAAACCAACACCTCCTACGGTAAAACCTCATATATACCATTGCGTTCCATTGCTAAGTGCAAATCTTTTGGGGTTCAAATGAAACTTATGTATATCCGATCTGCTTTCTGTGAACAGCCATTCAAAATTGTATTCCATGTTGAATAAGTGAGAGAGCTGGGCACTCGCAAAGAAATGTGAAGTTTTTCTTTCTTCTCTTCTAATTAGCAAATTGCATACGTGTATTTTTCAAACACCTTTTTAATAGATCTACTATTCTTGTCAAGGTCAGGATTGAGCCAAATTTGCTACGTTCTAGTTGGAAGGGGATGGTTTTGAGATTTTTGTTTAAATTGCTAGTGATCATTTCTAATCCGTACTCCGTAATCCGTAATCCGTATGTACTTAATCGGCCAGCGATGTTAAAACCTTTTGCAAAAGTTGACGAGTATATGGTTGATTTTTTGCATAGCTACGATAAAACTCTACAGTCCTCTCCTACGCTTGGAAGATACTAACTGAGCTTGGTAGACGCAAAGGAAAAGGGAATATTACATATTATATATATTACCGATAGGCTCAATACTGCGCTGGCTTCGAACACTTTTTTGCAAAAAGATTTTAAGGAAATTGCTTTACTTTGAAAACAATTATTTTATCCTGCCGAGGGGTAGTCTTGCGAGGCAATGCCTTAAAAATTTGGTTTTGGTTTTATAAATTTGGAGCCCGTTTGATATTTATTTTATAGCGTCGACTACGAGTTCACAAATTTTGGATACAATTTCCAAAGAATATTATCTATCAAAGGTTTAGGAAAAAGAAGAATAAAAATAAATAATAATAATAATAAATTCAGAAACCGAAAGTTAAGTGGAGTGATAAAATGCACAATTTCTTTAATATCGTGTTAAAGCTCAACTTTTTCTATTATTTAAACTTCATTCAGAATTCTTCAATCTTTTTTCACAACATCAAAGTAATCTTTGTATCCCCATAACAGCTGTTTCTCAAACTCACCATTCATTATTGTCAGCACAAGACAGAGCGCATCTTTGGTCTCATATGCATATGCCAAATTAACAACGAAGCGGGAATTAATTTTTTGCAAAATCTGTTTCTCTATCAGCACCATCGATTCGCCTTTGCGCTTTTTTATACGCTTCTTTTCGAGTTTTTTACAAGCGTACATTTTACCAGTTGCACGAACCTATAAAAAATAAGGAGCATTAGTAAGGGCATAAAAATATATATAATATATGTATGTACACCCTATATTGTAAAGGGTGTTTCTTTTTTTAGATGCGTGGTTTCCAATAAGGTACTACTTTCTTCGGAGTTGGTCTTTTTCATTCGAAACAACGTTTGCAAATCGTACAAATTTATTACCAAAATAGTCGTTTGGTTCGCGTGACACATCGCGCGCTGCGTCAAATATTTGATCGAGATAATCTCGCAGCAGAATCTGTAATACAAGCAATCATGGATCAGTTCAGCAACACGTTTACTCTTTTGGATAATGCGCAGACGCAGAGACGCCGTACAGACGCTATTGTATGGTACGAAGCAGCCTCGAATGAGGCCATCAATTTTTGGAAGATTTTGCAGACTAACAAAATTCATTTCGTGTAAGATTTGAAGCCGAACGATCATCAAGAGCGCCATACATTCGGTGAATGGACCCAGAACGAGATTGCCATCGATCTCGATTTTCGCAAGAGAATATGGATCACCGATGAAGCTAACTTTTGATTGAATAGGTATGTAAATAAACAAATTTGAGGTATTTGGTGTGATGATAGATAATCCAAAATCCACTGTTGAGTCGCCGTTACATCCTCAAAGGGTTACAGGTTGCTGTGCTCCTTAAAAAGAGGGAATGATTGCTCAAAAATTAAGCTGGTTGTTACGTTACAGTGCTTGGGAATGTCGTATCAAAGATTGTTTTGAGCCTGAATTGCAGGATGTTGATGTGGGTGACCATTGGCTCAAACAAGACGTTGCTACATCGTAATACAGGCAACGAAACAAGCAATTCAAGGAAAGTTTTTTTGAGCGCATAATCACGGGTCGTGGTAAAATCGTGTGATTTAACATCGCTGGACTATTCTTTGTGGAGTTTTGTGCAGTCGCTTAGCTATGCAGATGAACGACTGATATCTCGGAAGAGAATATTCAGTGTTTCACAATTGGGCTATTCGATTGGAATTTATTCGAGCCGCCACAGCGCTCACTTGCCCGAAATTATTTTAAAAAAATAATGGCAAATCCTTATCTTTAAACAATTATAAAGCTAAATTCATGACTGGAATATTAAATTAAATGCTTTTTATTTCTTCTTGAAAACCACATGCCTAAAAAACACCCTTTATGTGCCTCCGAGTATCCGACCGTCATTTTGCATTTGCAAGTTACATACAAATTCTATTGTAAAACACGTACAACATAAAAAATTGTATGCAAATGTACGCTTATGTACATATGCACAAACATATGCACGCATGTTTAAATATGTATGTAAGTATTGCATTGTACTATTTTTGGATATGCATCCATTTGCATATTTTACACTTTCAACTCGCTTATTCTACATACATACACGTAAATACATACGAGCGGTCATACTATACAAATGCGTAACGGTGTATTACCATGAGCAATTTTATATGATTTTTTGTTCTTCTTCTTCTTTGTATTCGTACATACCTGACATGCACAGACCTCGCCGAAACCACCTTTGCCCAATACGCGATACATTCGGAACGTTTTGTAGGTGATGGGTTGCGCTTCCAGCCATTTCCATTGCAAATATCTGTATGTGTAAGTGAGAAGAAGATTAAAATGAATTTTTTTTCTTCAAATTGAAGCAAACAAAAGCTGCTGAAAATACATACATCCATACATACATACGTGTTTAATAAATATTTGTAAATTTTAAAATTTATACGGAAAATGACAGTCTAACTTTTTTAAATTGAGTTCAAAGAATTTCAAAAAATAAATTAATTTTATTATACAATAAAAATGCCTAAAGAAAGTGTAAAATCAAAAATTGTCAAAAATTTAATTGAATTTCGCAATAAAGCAAATAAACTTTGTAGGCAATGAAGCACAAAAAGCACTTGTTTTCAAGATTAGGTTAGGTTAGGTTGGGTTAGGTTAGGCTACATTGGCTGATGCGCCTTATATAGAACCGTAACTAATTGATGGTGCCAGATGGAGGTGCGTTATATTGCGATCTGAAGTGGTCTTCGTATAGGACATCGACGACTTTCGGCAAGTTCAAGAGAGCTTTAATATTCAAATTCGAAGCTTGATTTTTACAGCAAAAGGTTTCTAGGACGAGTTATGGCTAAGGCTAAACAGAGGAGGTGTTCTAGCGTCTCTCTCACGTCTTCCTGTCTGCATTTCCTACATGTGTCACAGCTACTAATTGCCTATTTTGCTTGCAAGGAATGCCAGTAGGTCTGTTCTGCAGTCCCAATGTGAACGTGTTAGCAAGAAATGGATGTTTCCTTTGCTGTTATTGCACTTGCTAATATTTTCCATCCCATTGTGATCCGCCAGATTGTTTTTAGAGACTTTTGTATTTACTATAAGCGTTCGCTAGCAAGACCAATGCACTTTTGGCAATGTCAATAGCTATCTCGTTACCAATAATGCCCTGGTGGTTTGGGGCCCACATTATATGTAGACGTTTATCATTGGCACCTTCTAATTCCCTGTATCTAAGGACATTTTCTGATATAATATTATATAATGTGAGATTAATGCCTTAACTGCCACCTGGTTGTCGACATGCGAGAGTGTAAATAGATATTAATATTTTGTATATAGATTTCCGCGTTGCTAGCTATCTTAGCAGCTTTCTTTTTTCATTTTTCCTACAGCGTCCTTCGACTGAAAAATACTGCAGTACTGTTAAAGCTTCAAAGGTTGGCCGTGATTTAATTAATTTTTTGATCCATTGCTGTAGATGTTATAAGTGAGGGCGAAATCCGTTCCACTTAAATTGAAACCTTTTTTTGTTCAGATAAAGCTACCCCCACGCTTATATCTCTGCGGTCTATTTTGTCTTCTATTCCCCTGCATATCAAGCTGTGCCCGAAGGTTCTAGCGTTGAATTCATGTAAGACCTGCGATGTCGATTGGTGGTAGATCAAGTAACCTTTCAAGTGCTATCTTTGGATTGTTTCTCAAAAGTTTTGTTCGGCAGCGATCCACAACCGTAGAGCAATACTCTGTTACTACCGCTGTATGACACCAATACAAGAGGCCAGAAGATGATACCCCATGCGGTATCCAGCAACTTTTTACATGCATTTAACCCCCAAAAGGGAAGCATCTTAACCGGAAATCACTTCAGTGAAATTCTTTACATTTTTTTTTTCATTTTAAAATTCCGGCAAAAATTGAGCTTGGGTGCCTAATGGAACGCAAACGAGTTTCACGCAGCATTAAAAATTCGTCATTCTTACTTTAAAAACTTGTTCTTTGCTAATTTTCCAATTCCAGTTGAAGTAGTGTTCATTAAGCGCTTATAGGTTTAAGATTCCTTCCCGTTCTCTGAATCTTGAAGTTCCTAGAGAGTGCAGGTACTCTAATGTCCCTCATATCCACTTAACTAAATTTTCAGGATGTCGCCAAATAGACGAAACCCTCTAAAGCTTGAAAGTTGTAATTGTCAAGAGTGATGTAGAAGCCAAGACGGGAATAAGTTGAATATTTGTTTGATGACACTAACAGACCTCTCCTCACCCTTATCAAGTCATGATAAAGCAGAGTTTACGGCAATCGTATTTACACTCTCTAGTTAGTTCCGCAGTAAAAGCACTAGGTTGAAGAAGAAATTCACACTGTCTGAAATGCTGTACTTCCCAACTCTAACTACCCAGCGTCAGTTTATAGGGCCGTATGAGTTGAGAGGAGATACCAAATTCAGGCATAGCGACAGCATAAAGATAGACAAAGAGGTCCTTTTTTCTTGGTTCTTTTCCAGGATTTGGCTCATGGTGAATATCTGGGAAATGGCGGATTTGCTGGTCAGAAGCCACATTGCTAGGCGACCAACAGTGGGTGTGTAGGATATTGAATTACACAATACGCTCGATAAGATCTTTCCTTGCGGGGTTCGCTCTTTGTGTGAAAGAACAGACTAAGACTACGCTTAATGGAACTTACAACCTTTTCTGGAATTTATGAATATTATTTTTCAAGCAGAAATCTTCGCTGTAAGGAAACTCACTGCCGGAACAACTTGTAACAGCGTTTTTGGCGCCGCATTGGCCTAATCGTCAACCCTGCGTACTACCATGCGGAGGGTCTCGAGTTCGATACTTGGCCAGACAAACACCCAAAACTACAGAAAACTAACTTTTCTAATTGCGATCGCCCTTAGAGAGCTTTGTAACCGCTAAAGCGATTTTCGGCCGAGCTCCTCCTCCGATTTGTGGTTTTTGCGTCTTGATGTTTTTCAACAAATGGAGGGACCTACAGTTTATACTAAGCTAAGCTATGCGGAACAGCTGATAGGTTTTTTATCAGGAGACTTTATTTCATGACATTCCCTGCCCAGGGGCGTCTGCAATTAGAAAATTCAACTTAATTTTTTATAACTTTTGGACGTTGGTCGTGCCAGGATTTGCACCCTGGCCTTCCGAATAGCAGAACGCAATGCTAACCATTTGGCTACCGTGGCATCCGATCGCCCTTAGGCAGGAAATATCAACCCTTTGGGATATATAACTGACCTGAATAAAAAGCCCCTCATAAAAGTCCATCAGCCATTCGGAGTCAGCTTGGAATTTCACAATAGGATCAGCAGTGATTGTAGGTTATACAATATATTGATAATAAAAAGTCTGTATTTGGCACTGATTGGTGCTGATACTATAGTTCTGTATACCCTGGTATCGACAATGAACAAACTCATTGCCCAACTGCAACTCAAATTTGCCCCAGAGGGTCATAACTTCATTTTGGTTTTTTTGTATGTTAGTATATATGTTTAAGAACAAATGTTGCTTTTGAATATTAAGGATTTTTCTGTGAAATCCCTCTTACGAAAATGGTTTAGTGAATGTTGATTTGGAAAGGAGATTAAATAAGCTTTTTTATAATTTGCAGGAATCTATTAATATTTACATTACAATAGGTTTTATTTTCCTACTCACCGATGGAAATACATTGAAGTCTCGAACTCTTGAAATGGCTCACCAGCGAGGAATGCTTTCACGGCCGTCACACACGGCTCGAAGAGCTCTTTATTGCCGCTGGTGAGTTTGTCTCGCACTCGCGCAATGAGATCATCGTTGAGCACATCGAGCACCAGCTCATCGCCGCCAGTTGCCGGATTCAATTTGGCACCACCTGCACTATAAAGACAATTACTATCTTTGCTTAGGTCGCCCGCGTCACCGCCTCTACCGCCGCTGTCATCACCACCGCCTCCACTACCTTCACCGCTGCCACCACCCACCGTATCGCCTGCATCCACACCACTATCACCGCCACCTGAGCCACCGGCATCATTGTATTGCCGCTGTTGTAGCTGCTGTTGCTTTTGTAGATGATCATTGCCATTGTGTTCGTCTCCATTATGATGTTCATATTTCGTTTTGTGATTATTACTGCTGCTATTATTCGCGGTGGTATTGTTGTAATTATCAGTCTCGTCTGCGGTATTATTTTCAATGGTGGAAGTGTTGGTGTTGGTGTTGTTGATATTATTGGCATCATCATCGTTTTCATTCTCATTGCTGTTGTCGCAAATGCCGTTATTCAATGAAACGGGCGTGTCAATGGCCAAGAAGCGTCGGCCAATATCTAAAGCTATGGCAATACGATTCTCATCGTACTCCACGTCATATCTAAATTTTTTATTAGTAGAGAGCAGAAAAGAGATTCTAATAATTGGTATATTGGGATAATGTAAGAAAATGCTTTGTATATTCGGTACTCACCGCTGCACTTCATCCAAAAATGATATGTAGCGAAAGTAAATTGGCCGCTTGCTTTCACAAAATTGCCGAAATAATGTCCGGCCGATGGGTTGTTGGTCTATCACGTAACCATAACTTATATCTGGAGAGAGAGAATGGCATTAGTAATAAATTTTATAACAAGTTTCCAATAAATATTAAACATTTAGAAAACTGTTGGAAAACTGGATCAACTTTTGGCGACCACCGTAGCTAAATTGCTAGTGATGCATGCTTCTACCCAGTCGTGGGATAGAAACCTGGCTTCTCAAAATTCGATCGCTCCTCGGCAGAACATGTTAAGCACAGCGTCTTTATGATACAAAGCTATTGGTTGGTTGCTTGGAGGGTTTGCCCGGCTCCAGCTCACTAAAAACATGAAAGAGCCATTGTGATATTACTAAGGATCTTAATGACTACCACCCGCTAATCAAACCAATTTTACACAAGGATGGGCCATACTAAGCCACCAAAGTATCTTTCCTCTCGCTATCTCGCTCAAGTCTGTAAAGGTTGCCGCCCATAGAGTCTTCAACCTACTACTCTAAAGTGCGGGGCATTCGCAAAGGATGTGTCTGCAATTTCTGCCAAAAACTATGCTAAACGTCTCTGCGAGGCTGGCGAATAGAATATGTTTTGTAGGAAGATCAATAATTGGCCACATTGTCCTGGCCATATTACACGCATTGAGACTTCTCTACCTTACGTTGGCACCTTTGGTGAATAATTCTCCAGTAGTGAGCTAACAAGTACAGGGCGGCATGCCTAAACTCTTCCATGACGGCGAAAGTGAAATGGAAGTGCTCATCCGCCAACTCATTACCAAGTATTTTCCTGTACATACAATTTTCAAAGGAAATTATTCAGCCATAAGATATTTGACCGGCGGTAATTCGCTACACAAATATATTAGGCTGATGCGGAAAACAAGCGACCTCAGGGGGAGCAAACTGTCACAAATTGAAGAAGAAGTTCGGCCGAAAAACCTATCAACGTTACCTGAGCCCATATTATTCAAGAGATTGTTTGTCGTTTGTTTTTTTTTTTTAAAGAAAGTAAATGTTATATATTTTAGATATTTTTTGCCTTTTCAAAGAGCCTTTGTAGTGTAATGGGGTATGGCTTGCTTTACCTTGATAATTACGATGCCACCAGAGGTGAAACTGCAAGCAGACTGTTGACGCTTGAAACAAGCGGATTTCAATTTGAAATCATTCCCTATGTGTGCCCACTTCAAAAGTTTTAAGTCCGATAGAAACAAATCTTGCCAAGCCAATTCAAAGCTGGGCTTTTAAACATTTCCATTATTCATACCCATGTTTTGAATAAAAAAGATGATGTGACAAATGTCCCGTCAAGATATCTCAAATGGTCTGAGGCTAATCATTTACACAGGAGTCGAAGTAAAAAATTCCATCAATCAATCGCCAAAGCGATCATGTTGTGACAAACGGATATGTGTCCAGTGTTTTAGATAAGATCGTAACAAAGACTCGGACCAAGATAGCGTTTACAGTCAAGATATGGACTTAAATCTGCATAGCTAAGGGTCTTAATTGAGGTTTTTGAAGAGAGATAACAGCGTACAATTTTTATTGACTATCACTGCAGTTGATTTAAGATCTGCTTTGATTTTTCAAATTATTTGTCTTTCTTTTTTCTAACATTTACCATAATCAAGATACATCGGGTTTCATTCGAAAAGTAATGCCTCTTTGCTAGCAAGCATATTTTATGGGAGAGTTTACAACATTCAAAATTGAATTTTCTAATTGTAGTCGCTTCCCTGGAGGAGCGGTAAGCCCTCCGAGTGTATTTCTGACAAGAAATAAAAAAGCTTCTCTTAAAAATCCATCGGCCGTTCGGAGGCGGCTTGGAATAAACTGTAGGTTGTAGTTGAAAAAAACATCTTACTACTTAATGAAGAAAAGTGGAACGATTTAATACCATTTGCCAAGTAAGTAGTTCATCTTAAAAGCACAAATGGATTATTAAATACGAAAAGCTGAGAACGACAACAAACAAAATTAACAAATACCAAGAGTTGAAAAATATTGATGTTTAAAAAAGTAATTTACGAAGGTGTGAACAAGTAAAACAAAAAAAGTTGAGACCGCAAATACATCAAAGTGAAATTTAGCCTAGGAAAATATGTAGGAATTGAGAAACGAAATTACGTTCGTCTGACTGCCCACCTAACTTATTTATTTGAAATGTTTTACCCAAAATTTGCTGGCACATTTTTTTAATCTCTTCTACTTTTTGCGAAAATTATGAAATTAAAAGCCTCTTAGGTACTTACCTAATTTGTCTTTGAGGTGTATACACTGTGATATGTGTGGGAATTGTAGTATTTTGCGCCATTTCTTGCTTTTGCCCTTGTTGCTATCTGAACCGCCTGAAAAGAGAAAAATCATAATAGTAAATTTTAGAATTTTGTAATGGGTAAAGGTTTGTGAGTAAATTGTTAATGCTTAACTATATTTTATTACTTTTTTACTAAAGAAAAAAAAAATAAAAATGATACAAAAATATAAAAAAAGTGAAATAAATCTTAATAAGTTAAGATGGCAAAAAAATACTAATAATATATTCAAATTGATTCGCCCCATACTTTACAGATGGCCTGCAAGCTGTGGCCGATCCGATTGGTACATCCGTTCCATCATCGTCTACTCAACGACGTCAATCGTCTAAGAAAATCAAACACGGTTCAAGGTATAAAGTGGGACCAGACGGGTGTGGTGTACTATGAACTGCAAAAACAAGGCGAAATCATTTATGCGAAATGATGTCGACTACGATTAATGCGTTTGAGCCATGCATGGCATAAAAACGGGCAGAAACGACTGAAAGCCAGGACAGTTTTGATTTTGCAACATGTCAACGCTCGGCCTCACGTAGCTTTAGCAATTAAAAACTACCTGAACACGCTGAAATGGTAGGTTTTACTACACTCGCACACGTATTCTCCATCCCTTCGGGCTTTTTTCGACGGATGCAAATGATTTGGGGAATCGTCGGTTTGGGTCTTTTGGAAAAATTGAAGAATGACACAATGGTTGGAGCGACTGTCTGAGATAGTTTGTGGCTTTTGATGATACTTCGAATGATGTGTTTTTTTTTACTTTTTTTTAATAAGAATTCGAACACAAATCTCCATAAAATACGATAAAACAAAATAAAATTAATAAAATAAGAAAAATAAATATTAAATAAAATAAACTAAGAAGAAATAAAATATAACCAAATAAAATAAAATGAAATGAAAAATTAGTTTTTAAAACCAAAATAAAAAAATTAAAAAAAAAATAAAATTAATTATGCAAAAAAAATGTATAAAAAATCAAATAAGATATAATAAATATATGAATAAAAGAATAAAAGAAAAAAAATTTAATACAGTGAGAAACTAAAAAAATGTATATAAAAAATTACTACGCATAAAAAAATTTAACAATAACATAAATTAAAACAAAATTAGATAAAAAATCAAAATAAAAAAAATAAAATAGAATTAAAAACAATATAGGATAAAATAAACAAATTAAAATAATAACTTCTTTCATTTCATTATTTTTAAATTTAAATTTAAGTAAACAAAAAAAGTACAATTAAAAAAATAAAATATGATAAAATAAGATAAAATAAAATAAATAAATAAACGTAAAAATGATAAAATAATAAAAAAATATTAAAAAAAAACATAAGAAAAATAAGAATAAATAAAATAAAAAATAAAATAATCTTAAATAAAATTAGATAAAGAAATCTTAAAAATATAACATAAAAATAAAAAAATAACACAAAATAAAATAAACTAAATGAATAAGAACATAATCTAAAATAAAATAAAAAAAATTAGAGGAAAAGAAAAAACTGGAATAAAATAATATAAACAAAAGCAAATTAAAATAAACTAAGACAAAACAAAATAAATTAAAAAAAAATAGAGTAAAATAAGACAATATAAAAGAAAGATGTTAAAAAAAATTCATTAGATTTATAAGCCTGCATACATATAAAAATGAAATAAAAAGCGCACATTCAAGACTTTTTAATAAAAAACATTATCTACAACAATCAAATATTGACATTTCGATTTTATTGTCAGTTAAAAAAGGGCAACCTTTAACGCCTCTCTGCACATGTGCATGTACGTGTATGTATGTATGCATTAAATGACAAGAAGTTATAATCAAATTCAAAAGGCACTGCCTGTACCAGCATTACCAGCTACCTCATCAAAGCGATAAAAGTAAATGTAAATGCCTATGAAGTCGTTTAAATTTTAAATTATAATTCATTGTTGTTGTTGCTGTGATTGCATCAAGCTCCTTAATATGAATATAAGCAACATCTGTGATATTAAACCATATGTATGTATGTGTTGAAAAGAAAGCTCAACTAAAAGGAAAAGCGTACATCAGAAGTGGAGGGTGAGAGTGAGAGGAAAAAGGAATTTAATATATATATATATATTATATAAATATGTACATTTTGCAAATTTTCCTTTGAAAATAAGGTCATATATACATACACGTATGTAATCGAGCCTACACACATGTTGGTGGACATCCTCATATATTATACAGAGAAACACATGATGTAAACATGTATGAGTGGAAATTTGTTTGAACTTGTGCGCCATTCGGTGGTTCGTGTCGATATGTTAATTTAGAGACATGGAAATGGGCCATTTGCATAACCCAAAATCAAAAATTATGCCACACACAGACTCATATTAGTATAACGGTATGAGTGTATGTACATATGCGTACATACGTACATTCTATGCTTATTTATTTGCAAAGAGATGAAAATCAAAAATGTCTAGCAGTAAAATATACTCAACAAAATTGTTATATAAAAATTCATACATACTTGTATATGTGTACTTACGCATATGCACATTAGACAAGAACATGTATGTATGTTAGTTTGCTAAAATGCGTTAAACCCTAATAACTTTTAATGAAAAATTCAATTTGCAAACGACAAGCCGATCTGTTGCCAACCAAATTTACGCAAATACATACACATACATATATACATATGTAGTAAGTACATAGTAGACATATGACATACGTACATACTTATTAACTTATGAATAGAAGGACTTTATATGTTTAGCAATTTAACGAAAATCCTATTAGAAAATACTAAGATGAGAATATGTTCCCACCCTAGCGGATATGAAAAACTAGTTTTAATTCACCTTTTATTCCAAGTGTTTTGAATTTAGTGAAAAAAATTATGACGATTAATAATTTATTTTATTATTTTGATCTACCAGGCCTACAAAAGACAAGTAAAATAATATTCCGCGCATAATCAATAAAATATAAAATATAAAAAATATAAATAATTATGATTGGAGTGAAAAAAGTCAAAAATTATATAGAATGAATGTAATATAAAAAACTGTAATTAAAAAGTCTAACAAAAAATAAAATAAAATATAAATGAAAATAAGTTCTAAAATTAAAATGCAGATAAAAAATAAAAATAATTATGAACTAAATATTAGGTCAAGTAAAAAGTTCGTTCGGTTTTTATCTAAAAAAAGACGTTATTGTTCATGGTACTAGTATTACGTGTCGCACGTGTCACGCTAAATGTTTGTCTTTGACAGTTTTTCGATTGATTGACTCAGTACGTTGCGAACGCTCGTCAAAGATGGATACCAGCAAAGAGAAAATTCGTTACATTTTACAAATTTCCTTCGATCAAAGAGAAAAAGCAGCCAAAGCGGCTGAAAAAATTAATTTAATTATAGGTCCGATACTGTAAACGAATGTGTAGCACAAAAATGGTTCGCTAGGTTCCGTTCCGGTAACTTGGATGTCAAAGATGCATCACGCGTTAGTGAAAACAGACCGTCACGTGAGCACTTATTTAATTGCTGAGGAACTAAAGGCAAGCCAGAAAACCGTTTGGAACCATTTGCACAACCTTGGATTCAAAAAGAATCTCGGGTGCCACACGAACTAACGCAAAAAAACATGATGGACCGAATTTACATCTGCGAGTCGCTGCTGAATCGCAACAAAATCGACCCGTTTCTGAAGCGGATTGTGACTGGCGATGAAAAATGGGTCACCTACGGCAACATCGAGCGCGAACGGTCGTGGTCAAAGCTGGTGTTCCATCAGGACAACGTCAGGCCAGAAGCTTCAGGAGCTCAGATGGGAGGTCCTATTGTACCCACTTTATAGTCCTAACCTGGCACCAAGTGATTACCATTTTTTCCTGTCCATGGCGAACGCACTTAATAGTGAGAAGTTGGCCTCAAGAGAGGCCTATGAAAATTGGCTCTCCAAACTTTTTGACAATAGGGACGCAGCCTTCTACGAGAGAGCTATAATGAAGTTAGCATTTCGTTGGCAATAAAAATAATAATAAAAACGGCGCATATTTTACTTAAATCGGACAAATGTACACAAAGTTATAATATTTTGAAAAATCAATAAAAAAAAACCGAACTTTTACTTGACCCATATTTAACCATAGTAAACGAAAATTAAATAAAAGAAAAATAAAAAATAAAATAAATAAATAATTTAATTGAAATCTATAATAATAATAAAAATATCATTTATTTAAATTTAAATTAAAATAGAACAAATATTGAATTTCATTGTTGATATGTGGCTTCGACAAGACGGTGCCAATAATTTCTTACAAACTGGTGGGTTACCGCTCCTTTTCAGGAACTTTTCATTGTCCTTTCATTCAAATTGCTTGTGAGTAAGTAGAATAAAAATTTATGCATTTTCATATTTATATATGCGTTTACCATAAAATCCAATATTATTTTTAATTCCTAGTAAACGCTTATTATCGTTAAAGTGTCGATGTAAAAATTATATTGACATGAGCTGATAAACCATACCGCCAATGATTGTATGACACAAATGTCAACTACTGTCACTACATATTAACACTTTTGTTGTAGCCAATATTACGAGTATGAACGATGTTGTTTAAAAATAATGCGTTCATTTGCAATGATATTGACAAGAGTTTTAATGATATTCATTTAAGTGACTTTGGCATGCGGATTTCATGGAACTTCAATCAGTAAATCGCTTGTTATGTGAAAATGTGGCAATCATGCGAACGCATCTGTATGTATGTATGCATGAATGGATATAGGAAAATTTCAATTTGGAATAGTATTGCAAGCAAATTAAAAATGGGGAAACGTGTGCATTTATGCTTCCGCTTGAATTAAAATCGAAAAAATATTCGCAGAAAATTATGACAATTTTCCAAATTGAAACCAAGCCGCATTAGAGAACTACCAATTATTTATTTACATTATATACATATAAATAATGCAAAATTAAATATATTAAAAAAGTAAAAGAGAATAATAAAATGATATAAAAAATA